GAGCTTGGCTAAGGCAAAGTTGGATACGTACCCCAGTAATATACCAACGTTAACAAACACCTACATATTTTCAAAATGATCAATTCTATTAATATAAACTCCACGTGCATGCATTTGAGAGGTTTACGAAACAATAAATAGGGTGGTTCTATCGACACATCCATTAGTATTTTTCACACATCTCTTGTTAATTTCCATCTTTTGATATTCTTTAGTTCATTTGATCTTATGGTCGGAAATTCAGAAGGTGTATGGAAAGTAAAACATGGTGTGGATAGCGCCACCCAGTAGATATTTTAGGAAAATTCTAGGGTGAGCACATTTTTATATGGCATTTGTGCACTATCTAATGTGGCAAGTGATGTGTACATGTCACATTAATTAATGAATTTATCTCATTGAACGTTGGTTGCATACATCACTTGCCACATGAGATGATACACTAATGTGCTATAAATATCTGGTGTCCTTAGCATTATTTTTTGGGTAGTGCTATTCACACGCTCTTTTTTACCATCTCACACAATCTTTCAATTTTTGGCCATCGGATCGAATGAATTGAAGAAGACCAGTGGACAAAAATTAACAAGTGTGTGTGGGAGGTAAAAAGGGGTGTGTGAATAGGAATCCCCTACTTTTTACGAGGAAATTGTTAGAATATCACATTTTTTTACCATATTTTTATACCTTCGGACATGGCAAGTGATGGTTTAAATGCCACATCAATTAATGAATTTATCTTATTGAATGTTCATTGTATGCACCACGTGTTACATGAGATGATATAGAAATGTGATATAACTATATGGTCTCGCAAGCATAACTTTTTTCAAATACTTAGAGGCTTATATTTACGTAAACATATCACCCTGGCTAATAACAAAAATAGTTAGTATATTATATGATAATATAACGTGGTACTGAAAAAAACCTCAGGGAAAGATGTGAGGAAGCCACGAAACGAGGCCGGAGAGATCTCGGCGGTGTAGACAGGAGCTATCATAAGAGCATAGCCAACTCCAACTCCGGCAATGAATCTACCAAACATGAGGAAGGCGTAGTTCGGGGCAAAACCCATGAGGAGAGCTCCAATAAAGAAGATTGTTCCGGCAAGTACTATGGTGTACCGGCGTCCAATCCAGTCAGAGGTTTTACCGGCCAAGGCGGAGCCAATGAGAGAGTATATATTCAAGGTACCGTTAAGAACTTCAACTTGAACATCGCTGATATTGAGGTTTTCTTTGATGAAGAGAGACGCTCCACTCATTACACCAATATCTGTAAATAAATTTGAAATAAGCATGCGTCGTAGGTGGAGAAGTTTCTTCCAAAACAAAAAGAGTAGGAACGGAGAATGGCACATTGCAATAGTAAGATAATATTTTTAATCAAATAAGAACAAGACTGGAGAATGAGTGTATCATTAGAGAACCACAACCACTAACAATATCCATGAGTTTTAAGGAACAATTACCATAACCCAGTAAGATAGACGTCATTGAAGCCAAAACGGCACAGGCAACAGCAAACTTCTTTGTCTTGGGTTTCTTTGGGGGATCAAAGTCTGCAATACTATTCTGGGGTTGGCCGGAGACGACATTATTTTCTGCTCTCTGGTCAGCCATCTCCATATCTATAGAGCTAGATAAATTAAATGATAGAGAGAGAGAGAGAGAGAGAGAGAGAGAGAGAGAGAGAGAGAATTAGATATGAGGAATGAGCTATTAATCAAGTACCATTTATACAGATTATATCCATTTGTCTGAAATGTTGTTGTTCATGGAAACAAACACCGTCATCCAATACTGTCATCAATCAACGAAGAAATTTGAATTATCTTAATTCTAGAACTCAATTTAGTTAATTAGTTCTTATATACCAAAGCAACAAAATAAAAAAACTGAAATATGGTTCCATATTTAGTGTCATTTCAGGCACGCAACCATATATGCGCAAAAACTGTGTGATATTGTTCCATATATGTTACAAGCTCACCCGCCACCAGAAAATTGGGGTTGCCCTACAAAACCTTGCCCTTAGGAAATAACTAGTTCGTTGCACAAAGGTCATGAAAAAAAAAAATTGTGAGACAAAATAATGAAATTTGTCGCGCAACAAATGATTGTGCGTTGAAAAAAATGATTCGTCGCAATAAATGTAACAGAACAAAGAGCTTAATTTTTCGTGTGAAATACAACGAGGCAAAAGTATGTTGTCATATTGTCCTAATGGGGACGAAAATGCTGCGTTAGTAAAGCATTGCGCGACGAAACGTTTTGTTTAGTAAACATTCATGCAACAAATTGGAGTAATTTTAACATTATTTAATTGTCACAAATTTGTCGTATGCGTATTACTGTTACGCGACAAATATGGTTGTGGCATTTACTGTTACACGACAAAAGGTTTTGTTGCGTAAAGTTTAATATACATATTTTTTTTCTTTTGGGTTGTGAAAACATTTTTTAAATTAAAACAACAATTAAATTTTTTTTAAATTAAATTGTAACAATAATTTATAAAAAAGTTAATTACAATTTTTTTTATAATTAAATTGTAAAAATAATTAATAAATTTGTTTTATTTATAATATAAAGAAATTGTACGTACAATTTCAAAAGTTGTTCATATATATACATTTTGCTAAATAAATACTATCTGCAATTCCCGAAAATTGTTGTTATCCACACTTTACTTTTACTACTAGCTGCAAAATTAACCCAAAAAAAGAAGGTGAAAAAAAGGCAAAGCAACAAAAATTGGTTGATCGATAATAAAAATTACTGTTAACCGCATAATATATAATTGGTTGTCAATAAAAATTAGAACTAAATTAACTCCTCAGTGAGATTCGTTGATCTGGTGCACACAACACAACTCAGTATCACAGTATATGCCTCTTATAAATTTGGTTACTTTCTAGCTAGTTATTTCCTTTTGATCGCTTTGGTACTTTGGTTGCAAACCAATAGAAAATAAGCACCGTCACTCAATATTACAGTCTGATGGTATTTCTCTTTACTTGAACGTGAGAGGTATTAGATTCGAACCTCGTGGATGGCTAATTCAATATCAAATTAGATTGCCCATTGTGTGGCTTAGCCGAACTCCTCCCTCAATGTAAACTATATCGTTGTACTAAAAAAAATAGAAAATAAGCACCTATGATGCACAAATACTTATGTTTGATTGTGTATCCATATCTGATACTTGATTGGATAAGATATTTGCCTGATACTCTCGGATACTCATCCGATACGTATCATGGTCTATGGACATGTCTTTGACTTGATGGATATGTGTATCCTATATTTAAGATACACGTATTCGGCTTTTAGAATTCATTTACACTTTTAAAAAAAGATATGAAGATGAGAAAATTAATAGGAGACATCTATAATTGAAAGTTGATGAATACAATCTCACACTTGTTCTACCATATATAAGCAGGATTAGATTTCCAACTTTTCTTCTTCAACAACTCAAATGTACTTGAATTTGAATTTGAATGATGAATTATGTTTTAAAATGTATATCGTGTCACCTGTCTAATTTGAGTTGTTATGTGCAACTCGCGTGCTACACTTCTAGCTAAGGTGTGAGCTAGCAACGGCTATATTGCTCACACTCTCTTCGTGTTTGGCATAATAGATTGGAAGAAATCCGCTGTAGATTCTCAAGAGACGTTTTCGTTTTTGTTCACTCTTCTCTCCCTTATCTTACTCTCTGCAACTTCGAGATCATAATATATGTGATTTCAGTAGCTAAAACCAATCAAAACTCAAACTAAACCGCCTCAAATACACTAAGACGATTTATATGCTGTAATTTAATTTCAGCATTTATATTGATCTCCTTTTCCTAGTAAGCAACCATGAGTCAGGAAGGAAATTGGGTATTATAAAAGTTCAGGAGATAATCAACTAAAGTCAAAGTGTAAGGAGGAAATTGAATAATTATAAAAGTTCAAAGAATAATCGGCTAAAATTAAAGTCGGAGAGAAATTGTCTGCCAACGCATTAGGGAAGCAACCATAAGGGCATACTTGATATTTTGAGAAAAGGGTTACCCTCACCTTAGGGGGCAAAAGCGACTTTTTATATTCTTTCTATTCGCAAATTTTCCCCAAAATCGTTTTGTCATATCAAAGTTATATTCCCAATTGGGTCACAAAATTTGATTATATTTAAACTTGTGCGCCTGTTAAAAAACCGAGGGAAACCCCAACTGCAAAAAGACCTGACTTCTCTCACTCACAACTCCGACCACTAACAATGGCGGTGTCTTAACGTCTATCCGGCCTCTGCTTGTATTTCGCCGAAATCTCTCCGCCTCCCCCACCACCTTTCCCACCCACACAAGTCCTCACTTCTGTCCGCTACCAGATGATGAGAATTTCAGCATTTCAGACGGAAATTGCCCTGAGACTGAGACTCTCTCTCTCTCTCTCTCTCTCTCTCTCTCTCTCTCTCTCTCTCTCTCTCTCTCTCTTCCATTTCCGTGCTCTCCGAGTCGAACCCCAAATTCTCAAAGGTATTGACTTTTTGTTTGCTATATCAATTTTTTGTTTGTGATAGTGTAATGTGCTCAATTTTGGGTTTTTGTTTTGCCTAAATTTTAATTCTCAATGAATTTTTGTTAATTTGATTTGCTGATTTGATTTGATTTAACTTTATAACCCAAAATTTCTGTTGCTACCGATGACACGGGCAATAGGATTTGTGTGTATTCACTACACATAACAATTCTCAAAATACTCGTTCAACGATGATAAAAAGCTTTTAAGTTCACTTGTTTCAGATTTGCAAAAGTATGGTCTTGCACAAGTTTCTGAAATTTCAAAAAATAAGCTGCTCGGAAGTCTTCCAAACCATCCATAATCGTTACGCAACAGCATGGTCTGGCGAACATTGTACGGTTATTCTCCATTTGATCAGAACTCCACCGGTGAAAAGAAACGAGAGTATCGAAAACTCAACAGAAACTCGAAAATTCATAAATTTATAGTAAAACCACGCAACTACGAGGTTCGGATTTAACACAAAACAACCGAGTACATAACCAGTCTACCAAGTACTTATCTCTAAAGCAGGCTAGGAAATGAAAATGCTTCTCGACTCGTTTCCATCGCTTCTACGCCTTATTTTTCTCAATGAGCTTCTTAATAACATCTGCGGCATCCTGCACAGTTGCAATGGTCTGAGCGCTTTCCTCTTCCACACTGATGCCGAATTCCTCCTCAAGTCCCATCACAATCTCAACCTGGAGTGCAGCTTCACATTAGAACAAATTCAAACTACAACAAATAACAATGAAGTTTAAATACCGAAACTGTAACTACGTTAGAGAAACCAAAATGATTTCTACGTCTGAAGATTTTTAACTGCAACGAACACTGTTAAAAGTAAAGAGAATTTTGAAAGATTGCACACAAAGTAACCAATATGTCTCCTTATTCTTCACTAGTACTGCAATAGTCGTAACGATTGTGAAATGTAGTATATTTTTCTGGTTAGAAGAACTCCCTGCGAATACAGATGGAAAAAATATAAAGAAACCGGAGTAGCATGTTAATGAATGTTGAATGTACCGTATCTAGAGAATCCGCTCCAAGTTCGGAAAACTTTGACTCGCCGGTAACTGCAGAGTCGTCTGGCAATGCAAGTTGCTTCTTTACTATCTTAGACACCCTTTCCACCGCATCCGGCTTTGCCTGATGAAGGACAATTAACATTACTACAGCTCACAACGACCAGATAACTATCAAATTTTTAATTTTTACTACATTTGACTTAATTCGGGTAAACTCGAGAAACACTCAAACAATGGCAGGCTTTTCCATTAACTTTGTACAACACAAAAACAATTTTGTTTGTAACGTACACAATAGTTTATATACAAACAATTTAACACACCATAATTTAAAAATAAATTAAATAATTTAAATTTTTGAAAACCAAAGAACATACCTCCAATTTCGTTCTTCACCAATCGATAATCGTATACAACAGCTCTATAGAAAACAAATTTAATGGCGTTAGTACAAATTCACAATGAAATTTTCAAATACAAAACAAAAACGCATACCGAATACAGTAGGATAGATCGATTTAGGGAGAGATGATGAAGATTGAGATGATGGGAGTATTAGAGGATGGATTTGATAGTAATGGAAGGAGGAAGGCTGGATTTTTCTGGTGGCAGAGGCAGTTGCTGCGAAATTTGCAATTTTTACCTCTTCAGCTGAGCAATCTGATTATAAACACGAACTCTTTGTGCGACGAAACCTGCATTGTTCAAAACATATACCGTCGAAAATTGGCGCAAAATCTACCTGAATTTTTTGGCCACTTTGCGCGACGAATATTTTTGTGCGATGACAAGTTCGCCGCCTAAATGCTGAAGCGACAGAAGACATTAAATTTAAATATTTATTTGAAATTTTGAAACTTATGTAAATAAGGAGTTTATTGTCTAATTGATTAAGTAAAATAAAAAAAAACTTAAATCAAATTAAGTTAACCAAATAAATCAAATTAACCAACTAATCAATTAAACTGAAATTTTAATTCAAATACATATTAAAGAAATAATTAAAAACATTGTCCTCAAATACACAAATATAAACATATGTTATTCGTCCACAACACTTAATTAACACTTCTACTCCACTAGTCTGTCAGGATTTCCCTGTAATTCTACGTGTCGCTAGACGTTAGGCCACCACTGCCGGTTATGCGTCCTGAACATCTCATCGATCAACTTCATCAAGCGTTGGTCCGTAACATAAATAATATAGTTACATTGTGACACAAAAAATAATTACAAATTAATCGTTATAATATACTATTTAACAAAATAATAATGATTTTACTAATTTACACTTACTGATAATTCATCCAACATAGACTTCTTCAAGTCCTCAGGCAAATTGTTCCAAGACGCCCGCTTCGTAAAACAGTTGATCCGCACTAGTACACGAATGTCGTGCATAAGCTCCACATTCGTCATCGTATTCAATCCCCTCATATCATCATAAATGATTCGCATACGTTGCGCATTTTCCTCCTTTTGAGCCTGCATCGATCTCTGGGTTTTTTTTATTTGCAGTATCTACGGAAACAAAACATAAATTTCTAAATCACAGTAAGTGATTCACCCAAAATTGTTTTTCCAAAAATATAAATATTACATCCACAGAAACTTAATTATTACCTTTCCCAAATACTTCTCCCTTGCATTGCTTAGTTGTAAGAGCAGCGGAATCGGCCATCTCACCAAAATTAAAACAAGACCTTAAGATATTTTAAATACGACAAGTTCAATGTGCACTGACCATTTCAAAGCCCTTTACTTGATAAAATCTCTCGCGTAATGTTTACGTGGGAAATTCCTCGTCATGCGACTATTTGGTGCCAAAAAACTCCTTACCCGCACTTACTTGAAGGCATTTGCACGATGAAGGTTTTTAGTCGTTGAGAAAAGGTACCTTTCGCGGAAAAATCCTTCGTAGCGTAAATTTTTCCCCATTTGACTGTCGTAGGGCAAGATTTTGGCGCTAGCAAAAAATTTGGCGCGCAAGTCATTGAGTCTTGCGGGACAAAACACTGATTCGTTGGCTAAGTTCAGTTTGCCCGACGGACAGTTTCATTGACTAACGGTTTCAGTTAGTTTTAACAAAGGACCACATCGATGTGTTAAAAAACGAGCAGAAACACATTTGCTCGACGACTGAGTGAAGGTGCCTGTCGAGGATTTCCGTCGGGCAAACACTACTTCACCAATTAGGTTTGTGCGTTCTTCTATATTCCCATTCTCCTTTCGCTGTTCCCCTCGGCGGCTGCTGTTTCTCCTTGCATCTCTCTCTCTCTTATACACAAACACCCTACACTCTCCTCCATCTCTTCCTCTCCCAATTGATTGAAGATTAGTTTATTTTTATTTGTTGATTAATTTTTTCTTCGAATGTATGATTAATTAATTTAGTAGCTATTAAAAAGGAATCATGCAAGGAGCCTAACGAGGAAGGACGCTCTACTTACCATTTGATGTATATTACAATATTATATATTATATTATATTATATTATATTATGTTCTTGAGTAGTCTTTGAGGAGACTTAAATCTAGTTAAACTTGAATGATATCTTAAGACTATTGGTGATTCATTTTCAACAAATGGTCATCATACATATTGTATAGCTAGCTACGACCGTAGGTTTAATGCAGTTATTGATATTTCCAGTAAAATCTAAATTCGTTAATAGACACTAATCATCAATTAGGTAAATGCCACTTCAACTACTTGCTATACACTTGAATTACTTTGATAATGTGAATGGAATTTACATTCTTTGATATGACAAGCGAAGTGATATAAACTTGATTACTTATAGTTTTTTACTATATATATGATTTCAAAACGAGGGTTATTATATTCAAATGATTTTAACTAGATAAACTTGATCCACTCACACTTTATTTTGTCGACCTCTCAGGACATAGTGAGAACAAAGATAATCCAGGAAGTGAAGAGTAGGCTTGACAATGAGTTTAATAATTGCATGATTGTACTCTTGATTATATATGACACTACATTATTTTGTGTTAACTGTTGTGTGAGGCTACTATCAGCTTTGGTGTAATACGATAAGGATGAGATTACATCCTCGAACATGTGTCCCCAAGTGAGGAGGTTGATGAGGTTTTCTTACTAGACTGTTTTGATTATTAATAAAGAACAGTTTGGTTCAAATTCATTCACATCATAATTATCTTACGATGGCTTTCATCACTAAGTCGGCTTGTGACGTTATCTCATGATGGGTTCATGTGATCAATTTAGTGGCGGCCAGCATATTGCGGTCTCGTAACTTGTGTTATTGGGATCAGAGTGTGTCACTGAATTTTCATGCCTAACACGTGGACAACACACAGGGTAATGCTAGGAAGACCAAATTTGGAGACTAAATTTATAAACTAAATGATGTGTCACCAATAAGAATAAGCACGTTTATCAACGAGTAAGTAATAAACCAATCATCAACTTTCATGTCCTTTAGTTTTCAAAATTGTGTCCATAAATTTAGTCTCTCTGGCCTTACTCTAATACAAATAAGGTGACGTAGAGCACGTGTGGCCGTCGAGTTTTATACATAGAGCAACCTGCTATGATACCATATAGAAATATGATTCCCTGATTTGTCTGATACAATGTGTATAATATATTTATATATAGGGTTTGACAAAACCCATATGAGACGAATTCCTAAAATAATTACTATAAAAATTTACCTTCTTGCAATTACGAAGAAGATTCTAAATTAACTAAATGTTCTAACAAGAACAAACAATTATATATTAAGCACATCTACCAAACATATTGATAGAACGTCTTGTTACTTAACAAAGAAAATAAGATGTCTGAGACTCTGAACCTTCCCAAAAGGTGAAAGTGAGCACAGAACTTGTGCGCTCGATTGATCTTGATGATGAAGATTTTGTAAGGGTTTTGAGACTTTTGGTGTCCCACATCGGGAAACACTAAAGGTTCATTGCCCTTTATATAGATTTAGTGCTTTAGTCTAGTAATTAGAACATTGATCATTTGGAAATGGATTGAAGGCTTAGGCCTTATGGTTGTGTGGATTAGGCTTGTATAATTAATTTATTAATTAAAAATGTTTTGATTAAAAGACACAACTCATTTCATAAAAAGAGTTGTGTACTTTCAAATACGTTGAACAGGTATTTGAAAGGGTGTGAAACAACCTATATATTTGTAATCACAGTATCCAAGTGAGATCATCATTTCTTCCTCTTTTTCTTCCGTACGAAAATTCCAGAGAGTAAGCACACAAAGCAAATTCGCTAGAATTCTAGAATCCAGTGCAGGTTGTAGAATTAGGTAGTTGAATTCTGGTCGAGCAGACGTTGTAGAGCCACAAGCACAAGAGTGAGACGGAAATACTGTTCGAATGACATAGCTTTTACGCTTGCCTCTACCTTCTATAATCAAGTTAGTACCAATGTTATTCTTATATTAATTTATGTATTTATTCTGTAATTTCATTCTGCACGACAAGTATTTTTGGTTAATAAATATTAGAATTTCAAGTTTTGTTTATTTATGTTATTTTTGTTTATTTCTGAATTGTTCTCCAACAAATTTTGTGTCCACTAGAAAATGTTAGAAAGGACGCTAGGATCAGAGAGAACAATAAAGGGCGAGTCGATAAGCGAGGGTGAGGGTTTACAGGTAAGTCAATGGATGTCTAGGTAGACTGGGGTTTTCATGTGATGTGTCTAGTGATTTTTTAAGAAGGATAATGCTAGGTAGCAAACTTTTAAACCAAATTTTGCAAACCAAATGATGTATCATCAATAAGAGTTAAGCATGTTAATCAACACTTAAGTAATAATCCAACCATAAACAATCGTATCATTTGGCTTACAAAATTTGGTTTGAAAATTTGGTTCCTTGGCATTATTCTTCTTAAAAGTTCAGAATTTAATATAATGGTTGGAGCGATTGCTTGAGATCTATGTTTCACTAAAGATGAAAACCAAAAGTTTTCAAAATTTTCAACTTCACTACGTACCAAACAAGTTTTTGGGTTTTAATGAAAATTATTCTTATAAATGTAAGTACAGTTGCATATAACTGAAATATATGAGACAAAGGAATTGATCATCGTCATAAAGTGCATTAAACATTGATTGAGCATTGCCCTTCTATTCCTAATGGATTTGAGCCTTGTTGACGTCACCAAAACCATGATCAGCTTGCTTAGTCTTGTTAAGCATGGCATTGGCTTCTCTCCACTTGTGGTATTTACCAAACAAGACCTCCATATCTTCAAGGGATCGACCCTGCGTTTCTGGATACAACGTATAAAAGAAGACCCAACTAAGCGCAGCAATTCCCGCGTAAAGAAAGAAGGCCCCACCAATCGTGATGGCCTTATACAATGAAATAAAAGTCATGGAGATGACCCCGCTCGTCAACCTGTTTACGGCCACCCCCATACTGCACCCTTGTGCGCGCAACTGCAACGGAAAGATCTCAGAGCTGTAGACCCACGTGATGGGTCCCAACCCAATGGAGAAAAAAGCGACTATGAATAGTACCATGGCGATGCACAACCCGACGGCCCATGGGACCTTGCTGTGGGATTGATCAACGACCGTAAGACCCACACCGAGTAGCGTAAAAGAAACTACCATTCCACCCACGCTGCTTAAAAGCAAAGCACGACGTCCGAACCGATCAACTTGAAATGTTGCCACCAAGATTGCAATGGTCTTGACAAATCCAACAGCCACGGTTGCAAGTAGCTTGTCATTGTAAGAAGTGATTCCCGCTTTCTCGAAGATCCTGGGGCTGTACAAAACCACAGAGTCTGTACCCGACACTTGTTGGAAGAAGTGGATACCAAGGGCTGCTATTAAAATGTGGCGAACGGCCGGCGTAGGGCGAATGAGCAATTCCTTCCATATACCTTCACCTTGGCTGCGTTTAGAAACCTGAACGACCTCATCCTTTGAGTCTTTGGGGATTCCTGCAGCTTCTTTAATCTCGTCTAGTCTGAGCTGCGATTCCTCTTCAGAAGATGATGTTCTATTTAGTACTCGCTTGGCGTCTCCGAGTCTCCCTTGCATGACGAGCCAGCGTGGTGACTCGGGCATGGCTAAAACGCCGAGGGCTAGAAAAACTGAGGGAATTGCGCCGATGCCGAGCATGATCCTCCAGTTCAAGTGGATTGGGAGCTTGGCTAAGGCAAAGTTGGATACGTACCCCAGTAATATACCAACGTTAACAAACACCTACATATTTTCAAAATGATCAATTCTATTAATATAAACTCCACGTGCATGCATTTGAGAGGTTTACGAAACAATAAATAGGGTGGTTCTATCTACACATCCATTAGTATTTTTCACACATCTCTTGTTAATTTCCGTCTTTTGATATTCTTTAGTTCATTTGATCTTATGGTCGGAAATTCAGAAGGTGTATGGAAAGTAAAACATGGTGTGGATAGCGCCACCCAGTAGATATTTTAGGAAAATTCTAGGGTGAGCACATTTTTATATGGCATTTGTGCACTATCTAATGTGGCAAGTGATGTGTACATGTCACATTAATTAATGAATTTATCTCATTGAACGTTGGTTGCATACATTACTTGCCACATGAGATGATACACTAATGTGCTATAAATATCTGGTGTCCTTAGCATTATTTTTTGGGTGGTGCTATTCACACGCTCTTTTTTACCATCTCACACAATCTTTCAATTTTTGGTCATCGGATCGAATGAATTGAAGAAAACCAGTGGACAAAAATTAACAATTGTGTGTGGGAGGTAAAAAGAGGTGTGTGAATAGGAATCCCCTACTTTTTACGAGGAAATTGTTAGAATATCACATTTTTTTACCATATTTTTATACCTTCGGACATGGCAAGTGATGGTTTAAATGCCACATCAATTAATGAATTTATCTTATTGAATGTTCATTGTATGCACCACGTGTTACATGAGATGATATAGAAATGTGATATAACTATATGGTCTCGCAAGCATAACTTTTTTCAAATACTTAGAGGCTTATATTTACGTAAACATATCACCCTGGCTAATAACAAAAATAGTTAGTATATTATATGATAATATAATGTGGTACTGAAAAAAACCTCAGGGAAAGATGTGAGGAAGCCACGAAACGAGGCCGGAGAGATCTCGGCGGTGTAGACAGGAGCTATCATAAGAGCATAGCCAACTCCAACTCCGGCAATGAATCTACCAAACATGAGGAAGGCGTAGTTCGGGGCAAAACCCATGAGGAGAGCTCCAATAAAGAAGATTGTTCCGGCAAGTACTATGGTGTACCGGCGTCCAATCCAGTCAGAGGTTTTACCGGCCAAGGCGGAGCCAATGAGAGAGTATATATTCAAGGTACCGTTAAGAACTTCAACTTGAACATCGCTGATATTGAGGTTTTCTTTGATGAAGAGAGACGCTCCACTCATTACACCAATATCTGTAAATAAATTTGAAATAAGCATGCGTCGTAGGTGGAGAAGTTTCTTCCAAAACAAAAAGAGTAGGAACGGAGAATGGCACATTGCAATAGTAAGCTAATATTTTTAATCAAATAAGAACAAGACTGGAGAATGAGGGTATCATTAGAGAACCACAACCACTAACAATATCCATGAGTTTTAAGGAACAATTACCATAACCCAGTAAGATAGACGTCATTGAAGCCAAAACGGCACAGGCAACAGCAAACTTCTTTGTCTTGGGTTTCTTTGGGGGATCAAAGTCAGCAATACTATTCTGGGGTTGGCCGGAGACGACGTTATTTTCTGCTCTCTGGTCAGCCATCTCCATATCTATAGAGCTAGATAAATGAATTGATAGATAGATAAAGAGAGAGAGAGAGAGAGAGAGAGAATTAGATATGAGGAATGAGCTATTAATCAAGTACCATTTATACAAATTATATCCATTTGTTTGAAATGTTGTTGTTCATGGAAACAAACATCGTCATCCAATACTGTCATCAATCAACGAAGAAATTTGAATTATCTTAATTCTAGAACACAATTTAGTTAATTAGTTCTTATATACCAAAGCAACAAAATAAAAAAACTGAAATATGGTTCCATATTTAGTGTTATTTCAGGCATGCAACTATATATGCGCAAAAACTGTGTGATATTGTTCCATATATGTTACAAGCTCACCCGCCACCAGAAAATTGGGGTTGCCCTACAAAACCTTGCCCTTAGGAAATAACTAGTTCGTTGCACAAAGGTCATGAAAAAAAAATTGTGAGACAAAATAATGAAATTTGTCGCGCAACAAATGATTGTGCGTTGAAAAAAATGATTTGTCGCATTAAATGTAACAGAACAAAGAGCTTAATTTGTCGTGTGAAATACAACGAGGCAAAAGTATGTTGTCATATTGTCCTAATGGGGACGAAAATGCTGCGTTAGTAAGGCATTGCGCGACGAAACGTTTTGTTTAGTAAACATTCATGCAACAAATTGGAGTAATTTTAACATTATTTAATTGTCACAAATTTATCGTATGCGTATTACTGTTACGCGACGAATATGGTTGTGGCATTTACTGTTACACAACAAAAGGTTTTGTTGTGTAAAGTTTAATATACATATTTTTTTTTCTTTTGGGTTGTGAAAACATTTTTTAAATTAAAACAACAATTAATTTTTTTTTTAAATTAAATTGTAACAATAATTTATGAAAAAGTTAATTACAATTTTTTTTTATAATTAAATTGTAAAAATAATTAATAAATTTGTTTTATTTATAATATAAAGAAAATTGTACGTACAATTTCAAAAGTTCTTCGTATATATACATTTTGCTAAATATATACTATCTGCAATTCCCGAAAATTGTTGTTATCCACACTTTACTTTTACTACTAGCTGCAAAATTAACCCAAAAAAAGAAGGTGAAAAAAAGGCAAAGCAACAAAAATTGGTTGATCGATAATAAAAATTACTGTTAACCGTATAATTTATAATTGGTTGTCAATAAAAATTAGAACTAAATTAACTCCTCAGTGAGATTCGTTGATCACCAGCACACAACACAACTCAGTATCACAGTATATGCCTCTTATAAATTTGGTTACTTTCTAGCTAGTTATTTCCATTGGATCGCTTTGGTACTTTGGTTGCAAACCAATAGAAAATAAGCACCGTCACTCAATATTACGGTCTGGTAGTATTTCTCTTTACTTGAATGTGAGAGGTTTAGATTCGAACCTCGTGGATGGCTAATTCAATATCAAATTAGATTGCCCATTGTATGGCTTAGCCGAACCTCGTGGATGAGAATTTCAGCATTTCAGGCGGAAATTGCCCTGAGACTGAGACTCTCTCTCTCTCTCTCTCTCTCTCTCTCTCTCTCTCTCTCTTCCATTTCCGTGCTCTCCGAGTCGAACCCCAAATTCTCAAAGGTATTGACTTTTTGTTTGCTATATCAATTTTTTGTTTGTGATAGTGTAATGTGCTCAATTTTGGGTTTTTGTTTTGCCTAAATTTTAATTCTCAATGAATTTTTGTTAATTTGATTTGCTGATTTGATTTGATTTAACTTTGTAACCCAAAATTTGTGTTGCTACCGATGACACGGCAATAGGATTTGTGTCTATTCACTACACATAACAATTCTCAAAATACTCGTTCAACGATGATAAAAAGCTTTTAAGTTCACTTGTTTCAGATTTGCAACAGTATGGTCTTGCACAAGTTTCTGAAATTTCAAAAAATAAGCTGCTCGGAAAGTGTTCCAAACCATCCATAATCGTTACGCAACAGCATGGTCTGGCGAACATTGTACGGTTATTCTCCATTTGATCAGAACTCCACCGGTGAAAAGAAACGAGAGTATCGAAAACTCAACAGAAACTCGAAAATTCCTAAATTTATAGTAAAACCACGGAACTACGAGGTTCGGATTTAACACAAAACAACCCAGTACATAACCAGTCTACCAAGTACTTATCTCTAAAGCAGGCTAGGAAATGAAAATGCTTCTCGACTCGTTTCCATCGCTTCTACGCCTTATTTTTCTCAATGAGCTTCTCAATAACATCTGCGGCATCCTGCACAGTTGCAATGGTCTGAGCGCTTTCCTCTTCCACACTGATGCCGAATTCCTCCTCAAGTCCCATCACAATCTCAACCTGGAGTGCAGCTTCACATTAGAACACATTCAAACTACAACAAATAACAATGAAGTTTAAATACCGAAACTGTAACTACGGTAGAGAAACCAAAATGATTTCTACGTCTGAAGATTTTAACTGCAACGAACACTGTTAAAAGTAAAGTGAATTTTGAAAGATTGCACACAAAATAACCAATATGTCTCCTTATTCTTCACTAGTACTGCAATAGTCGTAACTACTGTGAAATGTAGTATATTTTTTCTGGTTAGAAGAACTCCCTGCGAATACGGATGGAAAAAATATAAAGAAACCGGAGTAGCATGTTAATGAATGTTGAATGTACCGTATCTAGAGAATCAGCTCCAAGTTCGGAAAACTTTGACTCGCCGGTAACTGCAGAGTCATCTGGCAATGCAAGTTGCTTCTTTACTATCTTAGACACCTTTTCCACCGTATCCGGCTTTGCCTGATGAAGGACAATTAACATTACTACAGCTCACAACTACCAGATAACTATCAAAGTTTTAATTTTTACTCCATTTGACTTAATTCGGGTAAACTCAAGAAACACTCTAACAATGGCAGGCTTTTCCATTCCGGACATAAAAACACTTATCCCTACAGCTACATGCCTACAAAATAGTGTTCACAATTCACATCAATCCGAGCTTTAAACTGTTACATCGTAAGTATAAAGCTCGGATTGATCGTGCATCCAATCTAAACCTTTAAGACTGAAACTTTCGACACTTCCAATGAAACCCCAGGATATTGTGAATGCAAAATTCAAACTGTAAAAATCATAACAAACAACAAGAGCACTTCAAACAAACACATACAGCGCAGGAAACGCGAAGCCGGGCCGAACGTTGTTGCAGCCCGAAAGAGAGGGAACTTCTTCCATAGCCAGCAAGTGAAACTGATCTCAAACCGTTAGCCCTGGATAATGCCTGTTCAAAGATGAATTGTTCAATAAAATTCAAATAAAAAATTCAGTAAAATGCGAATTGTTCATGCATTTTTTCAATACCCATGAAAACATGGGCAATTGGGTACAATTTCAAATGTAGCATTATATATGTAAAATCACAGAATTCCAACACCAACCCAATAAAGCTATATAATCGAGAAAAACAATACCAACATAATTAACTTTCACTGCAATTAAAAACTAAAACTAAAAGCATGTAAAGTACAACAACAACAAAGCTTTTTCGTATTAAGCGAGATCGGCTATATGATTCTTAGAACGATATTGCGCTCGGTTCGTAAAAGCATATAAAGAAAACTGTAAAAAATAAATATGATCAAAATTGTAAATTACAGTGTAATTAAAGAAATGGGTTTACGAGATTTTGGTGGAACTGCTGGGGGGAGGAGCGGATGAGGGAGATCGAAGAAGCTCCGGTGACGGCGGCCATTGGTGGAGCTACGGCGAGACCGAATTAGAAGGAGAGGGAGAGACTGAGACGGCGAGACCAAGGAGAGGAGTAGTGTGAGAAAGAGAGGGTCGTTTGCAGGTGGGTATTTATGGAACAGGGAGAAGGATTCTGTGACTGACACGTGTATGTGACAGAAGGCAGGAGAGAGTGACTGCTGAAATGGTCACTGACTCATCATGGACGGACGGTACAATGCTTTCGACTTAATGGGCCTGAAAAAGTTGGCTGTTTTCTTGAATTTACGACGTGAAATGTCGAAGAACTCTTTAAAATAAAATTAATGAAAAATGGTTGAAAATTTTGAATATTAACAATAAAAATAAAATAAAGAGTAAAATGAATAGTATCAGGATTGATTTTTTAGTGTAAAAATATGGTTTTTCGTTAAAATAAACAGTTACCAGGAATTTTTTGTTAAAGTTCCCCTCTTTAAAAAGTAGGAATTTTTATGACTTTTCAGTTTATTTATAATTTAACGTTAATTTTTGTGTCAAAATCATAAGGTGACAGAATTTCACTTTTAAAAGAATACCGCTAGCATTTCTCATTTCTGATTTCTTTTCCAGAATTTCAACTTATGACTTAAAAACTTTCCCTGTTGTTTGTGACGTTTTTTGAAATGGCAAAAAGCATTTTTCAACAATCTAAGACCTGGTTTGGTACTGAGGTGATTCTGAAAAAAACTGGTATCAAAAAAAGCTGGGAGTTGTTTTTGTGTTTGGTAAACATTCAACTTCAGCTTTTTTTCACAGTTTTGGGTGAAAAAAAGCCAAAAACAAGAAGCTGCAAAACCTAGCTTTGAAAAATCGGCTTTTTTTCACATCTATTTTACATAAAAGTTTACCAAACACTATAATACTGTTTTTTTTTTTTTCAAAAACACTTTTACAAAAAAGTTTACCAAACACTCTGCTGCTTTATTTCACATCCGCTTATTCTCATAGCACAGCAAAATCAGCTTTTTTTCAAAGCACAGCAATACCAAACCAACCCTAAAGTGCTTCGAACTATTTTTTTTTTTAATGGTCAATATTAATTATGAGTTGTAGAAGCACATTTTAGGTGTTTCTTTTTGAAGCACTTTCAAATATTTTTTTAGTAAACACTTGAGTTGTTTTTAAATTTAACTATTTAAGCACTTGTGAACAAATATGCTTCCACATGAGCGGTCTCAAATAAACTCTAAAATACATAGTTTCTTTTCGAACTAATGATTTAAAAGTAGAAACATTTGTCACCTAGTACTACAGTTTAGTGGTATTTCTCTTCACTTGTAAGTGAAATATCTTAGGTTCGATTATCGCCAAAGATATATATATCACTCGTTAAAAAAATGTAATTATTTAAATTTGAATTCTCTTTGAATAAATCTTCAAAAAAACTATGTAAATTTTGAATTATTATAAATAAAATATATATATATAGAAAAGTATGAGCTTTGAATTTTTAATTTGGTTAACTTTGAATGAGCATGAAATTCGGATGGGATAATTCAAGGTGCAACAAATTCTTCTTGGTCTACTCTTTGCATGACCAAATTATTTGGAAAAAGCAAACCATCTTAAGAAAAGATGCCGAGTCTCTTCGGGCGTATGGTAATTTTGATCTTGGTGCTATGGATCTTGAACCTTCTCACATCCCAACTTTGTTGGCTGATTTCATACGAAACCCCAATTAATGGTGGTCTTCCATTTAATCAATTAGTATTTATTTGGTTTAATTCGACTTGATTGTGCGTAAAGTTTGAAGGAGAGTGTTACCAACCTTCTCTCTTATCTTTTTATTTCAATTTTCTCATTATTTCTCATGTCACATGTATTCTGCTAGCACTTAAAATTAAAATTTAATTACTTTTAACTAAATTATACTAAAATGATAATTTGTCTACCAAAAAGAAACTAAATTTTTAGTTTTAACGGCTAGTGAAGTGCACATTGTATTAAAAGAAATGAGATGGTTAAAACTTAAAATGACAAAGTAAGTGAGAATGGAATATGTTTGCTCAGCTACCTTAAGTGATGATAATGATTACCAACCTATTTATTATCGTTGAATGTATTTAAATTTCTAGATCTGTCTAGTGAGTAAACGCAAATATCAAAATTTAAATTCATCAAATGATAATAAGTATCACCACCACTTGAAGGCGGTGAGTTAAACCGACCCAAAAAATAGACTTGTTGGAGTTTGGACATGCCAATAGCGAAAAAGCAACTTGCCAGGTTGTACATTCTAGTCTTAGCTAGGGATGGGCAAAATACCCACAGATATGGGTAATCGTGGTTACCCGCCCATTTAAATTTCATGGTTACAGTTATGGGTAACCGTTTAAATAAATAAACGGTTATAGTTAAATAGGTATGCAATTATAGGTATGGTTAACCGTTTATAAACGGTTATAGATATGAGTATAACCGTTTAGGCAATTACCCAACGGGTAAACGGTTATGGGTAAATAATCGCGGTTACCGACCCACCATAACCTTTGCTCATCCCTAATCTCGGCCCTGATGTTTTTCCTTGGGCCTGTTTGTTTGTTTGGGCTCCCGCCTCATTTCAACCCTACCCAATGGAGTAAATAATAAAAAACAGGATTCGGTATAACTCAACCCAGTGGAGCAAGCAAGGCGGAGTAGCCCACCATCCAAACGGCGGGTACAACTAACGCACACCAGCACCCAACAGGATCTTTTGGTGAGAATCTCAAATATTCATGAATTATGTTCATTCATCGTATATCATACGATTAGTTTTTATTAAATATTTTTGTTTAATTTTAAATAAAAATATTTAAAATAATTTATGACGATACGATATACAATAAACAAATACGATTTACGAATTTCCAGAATTCTGACAAAAATGACCCGGTGAGAATACGAATTCCACCAGCAGCAATACTGCTTCGTGTTAGTTGCCCATCACTTCCTTCTCACCGTCAATATATTATTAAGCTCCCGCTGTACTGTTTCAGGCCACCAAACACACAAACACATCCTTCTCTCTCCTCCCTCTCCCCTCTCTCTTTCTCTCTCTAGAATCCACTACTTGAGATCCTACTTGGATTTATCGATTCCATCAAATCACCTTTCCATCCTTATTCTGTCGATTATATTATATTATTCATCCAAACGCGGCCTTTCCCAATTCCTCTCCGGTTCTCCCTCGGTAAACGCTTCCTCAACCTCCTTCCCCCCTCTCTCTGATCGAAACGTCGTCGTTTCCCGAAGTCCATCTCCACTGAACGCGTTTTGACGATCCGAGTGAGTGAGAAGCGAGTCAACTCTCTCTCTCTAAGCGGCGTTATTGATTTTGTATTTTGATTTTTATCCGGTCTGTGTCTGTTTGGTTGCTGAGAAAAAAGCAGAGTGCGGGAAAATGGAAGTTGATTGAATTTGATTTTCCCGACAGATTTTATCACGATTCTCTTCTTTTTGTTTTGGGATCTAGTGCTCGAAAACTTTTTCGCAACTTTTCTATAAAAATTATTCTACTGGGTCCCGACGATTCGATAATTTCAATCATATTCGTAATCGATTAGTAAAGTTTTTGTTTCTGAGATTTTCTCAGCAACCAAACAGCCGGTCAGTCACTAATATACACGATCATATACGCATACAGATACATCATACGTGTTTCTAATTTCTAAATATTTACATTGTTACATTTGTATGCAGTAACAATGAACACGCAGCTGTTGGAGATTCAACCAAACGAATTGAAGTTCTTGTGTAAGTTCGTCGATGGCAGACTAATCATTTTCTTTGTGATTTAGTGTGTATTCGATCACTGCTACAATAATCGCTGTTTGAAAATTTGTTACGTTTTGGTGTTGCTGGATCAGCTGATTTCATGCTATTGAATTTTTTCTAGTTCTTTTTGTATCGAAAAGAACATCGATTTTGAAACTATGAATACTGAACAGACTGATTCAAATTCGTATTAGGTAGGTTAGGCTTTGTTTGCTGATTGCTTTTGAATTGTAAACTGATTGCGAAATTGTTTTTGTAGTTGAATTGAAGAAGCAAAGCTCATGCTCGATTCGGCTTACCAACCTGACCGACAGCTATGTTGCTTTTAAGGTGCATATTGCATTTTGTTTGTTTATCAAATTAGTGAAAACTGCTTTTGTGTATTTCGCTGAGTCTGATCAAATTTTAGTTGGATTGTAATTTGGCAATGACATTTGCAGGTTAAGACTACGTCCCCTAAGAAATACTGTGTCCGCCCAAATGTTGGTGTTGTCTTACCGAAATCAACTTCTGAGTTTTCGGGTATGCTTTTTCATGTATCTCGTTTGGTACGTTTTGAGCATGTGTTAATGTTTGATTGTTCATGTAAGCATTACTTCATCAGTATGTAGAAAAGCATGAAGTTTGACGTTTAAGTTCCACTTCTGAATTTTCGGTTTAAGATGACAGGAGAAAACCAGATCATTATATTCTATATTGCACATTGACATTTTTAATATACGCTGTCTCCTCGTGGATGGAATAGCTTAGCTACTATAAGGTTTTCCAGTTGCTTTTACATGCTTTAGGCATCATTTTTTTTGGCACATGATTCAATCACAATGTAACGACATCATTTCTTTGGTTTTAGATTGCATTTAACTTTCTAATTGTTTTCTTCTTTACTGGGTCTTGTTATAACCATTTAAATTTTGTCAACATAGTTACAATGCAAGCACCACAAACTGGTATGGTAGATATGGAATGCAAAGATAAGTTTTTAATCCAGAGCACGATTGTTTCTTCTCGGACAACTGATGAGGATATTACCGCTAGCATGGTAAGTCTTGGTAGTTAATTTTGGTCTGGAGATTTTGTATTGATTTCTCATTGTTTACATATTACATTCACAGTTTTCTAAAGACGGTGGCAAGTACATTGAAGAGAAAAAGCTAAGAGTAACCCTCTTTAGTCCACCCAATTCCCCAATGCTGTCACCAATGAAGGTAGACTTGAAGCAGGGGCTCGGCTATGAACATTCAGTTCTAAAAGATCAATTTGGTGGAGTTGAAATCCTCCCTTCGCTGAACCAGGTTAGAGAATCTATTCTTATTTGGCAATGTTTGATTCTCTTCCTCTCTATCCCCCTCCCTCTTCCCCTCCCTTTCCTTCCTTCCCATGTGCTTGCTTTCTGTATGTATTGATCCATCATGCTCACTTTCTCCAAGTGCCTTGCATTATCGCTTAAACAGCATATTTACATAACGATGACTGACAACTCAGCGTAGTAGAAAACTTTCAGGAAATCCGAATAATTTCTTGGTATACTGTTATGTGGTTCAAGAACACCATGCAAAATCATTTTGTGGTTCTTATTTTGGACCAGGTTACTAAGGATGTGAAGTTTGCGGCTACTAATGAGATGCGAAAGCCATCAACGGATACTCATGAGAAGCCAAAACCATCAAAGGATGTAGAGTTGAAACCAGGAAAAGACTTTGAATTGAAACCAGAAAAAGATTTTGAGTTGAAACCAGAAAAAGATGTGGAGTTGAAGCCAGCAAAATATGAGGCATTGGAACCAGAAAAAGAGGCTGAGTTGAAACCAGTAAAAGATGTGGAACTAAAATCAGCAAAGGATGTGGAGTTGAAACCAGTAAAAGATGTGGAACTAAAATCAGCAAAGGATGTGGAGTTGAAACCCGAAAAAGAGGTCGAGTTGAAACCCGAAAAAGAGGTCGAGTTGAAACCCGAAAAAGAGGCGGAGTTGAAACCTGTAAATGACGTGGAACTAAAATCAGCAAAGGATGTGGAGTTGAAACCGCCAAACGTTACGGAGTTGAAACTAGAAAAAGATGTGGAGTTGAATGCAACAAAGATTGTGGAAGATTTGAAGTTAGTGAAGGATATCCAAGAGATGAAATCAAAGCTAAATGCACTTGAATTAAAGCTGAGCCAGGTTTTGGTCTTTAGCAGAATTTTGTTTCGAAACATATGATATTATTGCGGTTACGTTGCCTGTAGAAACTGACCTCTAGCAGTGTTCCTCTACATTATGCGAAGAGTTTAGTTATTGGTTATACACTACACGAACAGTTCTCAAAATGCAATCTTACAAGTTTTCCGTTCTTTATAACTTTGAGTTAATTGGCGTTTTTCAGGCTGAAGTTACTATTTCAAAGCTAACAGAGGAGAGGAGTTCAAGCATTCAAGAGACGAGAAATATACAGCAGCAATTAGTAATTTCTTGCGCCCCTTCCGTTTTCTATTCTCGCAACTCTTGTTGTTTGTCTACCGATGAACAATGATATGAGCTTAAATGTTATGAATCGATTATGAAGTTTTATTTTGGGTTTGTTTGTCGTAATTTTCATACTACTGTGCTAATTTCTTTAACTCCGCACACTCGTGTTTGCAGTTATTAAGACTTACTAATGATTGCAGGCACAACTGGGTATAAGAGGTGTGGATGTGAAAGTAGTCCAAGTCGGATTTCCTCTCCTCTTTGTTTGTATGGTGGCGATCATGAGCGTTGCTATCGGATACTGTATACACCCTTGAAGAACATGTGCATGAAGCTAGAACCATCGGTGCCAGTTAGATGTGTACAGATGAAGTTTATAGGGGACAGTCTAGCCAAATTTAATCACAGTAGAGACATTAGATACACACATTTTCTTGTTTCCGATAAGGTATGTACTTGTTTTCAAGGCATGGTGTTTTGAAGGAACTACCTTTACCCTTAAAGAATTTAAAACATTAAAAAATAAAATAGATTAGGGTGCGTGGGGAGCAAAGTTTTCTGAACTTTATGCCATGTTTAGTTTCTGTCCATGAACTCTCATATTAGTTTTCTTCGTCCTTAAACTTAAACTTTGCGTTGTATGAGTAGTCCTTCCGTCAAATCTGGTGGGATGGGTTTCAGAGAGGGTGGTGCAGGTGCTTGAACCTCGCCTAGCTCTTTAGTTCTTGACATTTTTGGCCTTCCGGGTTGCTTTTTGGTAACATCTTTGAAAACCTTCACGAGACTACACTTATCCCATCAAGATAGTGTATAGATTTAAAAAGCTTGTTAGTTATTTTAATTTCACTATAATATCCGTGTATGTTAAAGCAGTTAAACACAAAAATCCTATTGTGTAATATTAGTAGTGTCCAATAAGAGTGCATACTTGCATGAAATTATTTAGCTTGTAAGGTTATTATGTGGTGTATATTTTTGGTATGCTATGCCTTTTTATTCCATATTTGTCCCTAATAGTAATATATATTAATTACGACCATCTCCAAAGGAGATGTGTCAAACTTTAAACATAAAATTTAAATTTAAAGGCTTATGTCCACTTTTTGATATGTGAAATTTAAACTATTATTTTATTGAATTATTTCTTTCTTATTTTGATAGCAACTTCAAATCTTTAGTGATTAATAAATGATTTTTACTATTTTTATTATTATTATATTTTTAAAAATACTTATTAAAAGTAAATAATGTAATAAATTATAGTTTAAATTTGACATATCGGATGGAGAATAAAATTTAAAAAAAAAAATTCAAAGTGTCACATAAGCTTTGGAGATGCACTATGTGCCTTTTTTATTCCAGATGAGTGAAATGTCACACAATCAAATTTGAAGGTAAGAAAAAGGTTCAATCGATATGAAAAAAATGTGCTGTCAATTAATTTTCTAATTATTTTATTGTGTGCATCCTATTAATGCATCAATTATAAATCTTAAAAATTATTTTTATCGATTTCATTTTAAATGTGGATCCTACATATATCATTTATATAAAAAAAAATGAGTTAGAAAAAGAGAAAATCTGACATTGATACCTCAATAATCAAATTAATATTTGACATTTATCTTTGCTCAAAGAGTTCAAAATTAAAAGTTCTAGAATTTATGAGAAAATTCATCAATACATGAATTCGTGGATATACCATCAATATATGAAAATATGGAATTAAATCTTACAATAAACCAAAAGATTCAAACTCTGTGTAAAGACATGAAACCAAGAGAAAAATCAACGGTAACCAATTTATCGGTATATGAATTCGTGGATTTACTGTCAAGTGTTACAAATTAATTTAATTAGAGCGTATTTGGTACTCTACTTGAATTCAACTTTTTAAACTTAAAAACAATTTTCAAGTTTTAAGTCTTAAAAACTTGTTTGGTATGATTATTTTAAAAAACTGAACTCAAGTCTAACTAAAAAATATAGTCTATTATCTAAAAACACAAAAAATGAGTTTTTAGAGTTTTTAAACTTAAAACTCACTCCTTTCTTTTCTCTTCATCCTCCCCTCTCATTCCAAATCTCTCTCTCTCTCTCTCTTCTTCTTCTTTCTCTCTCCCCCTTCTCTTATTTTTTTTTTACTTTTTCGTCTCTCCTCCAATTCGCTCTCTTTATTCTTTCGGTTTTTTCTCTCACTCTTCTTCCTCTCTATCTCCTCCGATTCTCTCACTTCTTTCTTTTTCCTCCAATCATCTCTTACTTTCTTTCCTCCTCTCTCCTCTTTCTCTCTTGACCCCTTTTTTTTGGATCTCTTTGTCCAGTTTAAGTTGTAAGATTTAAAAATTTTAAATCGCATACCAAACAAGTTTTTGAGTTTTAAAGAAAATTGTTTCAAGAAAATTTCTTAAGAAATGTTTTGAGAAATTATAAAAAATTTCAAATAGGATACCAAACAAGCCTTTAGTTTTTTTTTTTTTTGGTCAAAATTAATTAGTTCATTTACAATTTGGCCACAAAAAAAAATTCATGTACGTTTTAATTAGTATTTTAAATTATGTGTAAATTATGCAATCACGTAATTTAAAATATTATGACAGATATAAAAGTTTATTATTTACCATATCCAGAAGATTTTTTCAGTTAATTAGTATTTTAAATTATGTGTAAATTATGCAATCACATAATTTAAAATATTATGACAGATGTAAAAGTTTATTATTTACCATATCCAGAAGATTTTTTTCAGTTATTGACATGTCTTTTGATAAGATAATGACGACCCTTTCACTATAAATATTGTACATCATTTTCATTTGCACTACAAACTACATTACCGATTGTAATATTTGGATTACGAGGAGAGAAACATGGAGAAATCCACACTCACATTGGCTTTCTTGGTCGCCTTCCTAGTCGTTATCTCTGGTATCTCTCACATTGCGTTATGTTTGTTACAGCCAACACCATTTAGTGGTATAAATGTTTGTTGTTCTTGTTATTGAAATTTGTATTGATTGGCAGGTTTTTCAAACGAAATTGAAGCAGCAAGAAACACAAAGGAGGTTGCAAGTTTGCCATCTTTCAGAGCGTTGGAAGGTCAAAAGAAGCCACAGCTAGTGCCGATGGAGGGTGGTGGCTGCATTTTTTGGTGGGACTGTAGTAAGATATGCCCTCCAGGATGCGACGTTGGAGTTTGTGATCGTGGACATTGCCGTTGTACTTGTACCTGAACAAATCGATATCTTTCGAATTTTCTGTGGAGTAAAGACGATAGAAAATTTCATTAAATTCGAAAAGAAAAAAGAAAGTGTTTAAATCACATGCTACAATATTAAATAACAATTCCAACTCAAAACGATCTCTTCTATGAAGGCCGTCTTTTCTCGAAACAAAAATTAACGTAGCTATTCCAACTGAACTCGCACAGTCAAGTTTCTTTCAGAATTTCAATTATATTCATTGTTACTTTTAACATATTTAAGCAATATTTCTTTTATACAATAGTTAGAGATTGAACTATGTCACATAATGAATCAACAATAATAATTACGTATCAAGCTCACTATCCATGAAAGTCAAACTTAACTTCTCTCACTTGTAAATCAATTGTAAGCAGAGAGAAATAACGGAGTTAATGACAAATAAGTTCAATTGAGTGCAAAACAAAGAAAGAAAAAGTATATGACAATTGCGTAACCATATAAAATATGATGGCGAAAATTGTAATATACATGAATTTGGACTATATGCACTGAGCCGATAACCCGAACAAAAGGAAAATAAAAATCAATTTTGAAAGGAAAAAATTATGCTACCAATTAGTTCATGTGCATTTTATTTTTCTTTAAAAAGGAACCAGCTAGTTGTGAAGTCCCAAAAGTTCAACATTTTAGGAGCCGAGATGACGCACAGAGTCATTTCAGGCTTTCAGCCTACCAAATTAGTTCATGTGCATTTTGGTTAAAACAAAAATGGTTCATGATTTTGACATTTGATTCATGAAATTATGTGATCATACATATACCATATTATAATAATTGTAAATACTTTACACTTTACTATATCTAGATGAAATTTTTTCCAATCATTAGACTCGTTGTTATTTTTGTTAATAAGAAAATAATGATAATCCTACTATAAATAAGGGTACATCAATCTCCACAATTTTCATCTTGCACTCGAAGTTTCATTACTTAATCACATATTTCAACGCTTAGAAACAAAAATAGTGGAGAAATCGACACTCGAGTTAACTTTCTTGGTGACTCTTCTAGTTTTTTTCTCTTTTAAGTCTTTCTCACATTGCATTACGTTAACATATTTACTTGTATGGTTATATGTCAGCAATCCCCACCCGCTTCACAAGCTAGCTATTGGTGTCACGTTGTTAGTTGATTTTCACACACATTTTCAATCGCAAGTGTGTTGACATGATATGGATAACTATACAATTTAAGCATCAATGAAGTGAATAGATGAACGACATGTCGGCAACACATTAATATAATTTTTTAATATCAGATGGTCGAGCGTGTCACGACCCAAGATTCTCTCTATGAATACTCAGAATTATAATATTTATACATTGGCAGGCTTTTCAAAAGAAAGTGAAGCAGCAAGAGGCATATATGGAGTTGCAAGTTCGCTGTATCAACTGCAAGTGAGGTGCACTTTCTTTTGGGAATGCCGCCACATATGCCCTCCTGGATGCGACTGGGGGATTTGTTACGACGATAGAGTTTTCTCATGTACTTGTATCTGAACCAATTTGTTTAGGTTTATATTTGTGGAATAAAAAAGATGATATCTGTGGACAAGTATGAATAAATAAAAGAGGCAATTTGATTCACCACCTAACATATCCATTTTTTTATTAAACATTTGTCGCTTTTGAAGTTTTAATTCGACTACATTTTACTCTCATAGTGCCTTTTTTTTTTCATTTTTCAATTGACCTACTAAGTGGTTGAGCCAAAATTATAATTTAGAACGAGTCTAAATGTCTCAATATGAAATATTTTTTTGATCTTATAAAAATTACTTTGTTGTGCGATGACCAATGTTGTTTAGGTCTGGTATAGTGTCGTTCTCATCATCTTCTTTTTTAAACTTAAACCCCCAAGCCTCTCTAACATTCTTTCTCCCTCCACAAGTTGCCAGGCCAAAGTCTTCCTCAAAACTCACAAGCAACAGATTGTCTAAACTCCATAGGAATCAAACTCTATGAAAGAAAAGTAAAAACGTCGATCGGTATCTTGAGCGTAAAAAAACCCTTGAAAATCATACCCATGGCGCTAAACATTTCTGTGCGAAAAAAAAAGAAGTCAGTGGTCTTTCATGGCTCCGGCGCTGCATTTACCCCCATTTTACGTGGGGTTAAATCTTATTTATTATGACTAATATTATGGATAATCATACAATTTAAATTTTGACAAAAATGAGAAATACATACACAATAAAAAATGAAAACTGTACATGGACCCATGCCAGAAAACACAATCAGCAAACTAATGTACTGATGTAGTTTTCTTACTTTTAACGAATACAGCAAACTAAAATCGGAAAAAATGATTAAATAATCTTTAGCAAAATAATATCGTGCGTTTCCTTATGAAAATCAAAATGACCCCATCTGCAACCAAATGTACCAAAATAATATTGGTACGTTTAAAATCAAACGTACCATAAAGATAGACGTACTTATATGGGTGGGTTCAAAAAATTGAAAACCGAAAAAAATCAACCCGAACATCAAACCGAGACCTAAAAAATTGAACCGAACCGAATTCTTTTGGTTTGATTTATGTTTCAATGGTCTAAAAACCAAACCAAATTAATTATTAATATTTTATTTATTTATTTATTTATCTGTTTTGGGTATTATTTTCTAAACCCAATTTGTAAGCCAAAATGTGCAATGTGTTGCCAAACTTTAAGCCCAAAATATTAAAAAAAGCATTTAGAAACCCTAAACCCTAACCTATTATTTGTCCCCCTTCTTCTCTTTCACCCTAGCCGCACCTTACCATCTCTCCATCTTCTTTCTTTCTTTTTCTTTTCTGTCCCTCTCTTTCATTTCTTTCTCCTGGACTCCAGCCGCACCTTCATTCTTCTCTCCCTTTTTTTTTTTTCTTCCCAACCAGACCTTCATTCTGTTTTGCTCTCTAATCATCATCTTCTTTTTTTCTCCCTCTTCATAATTTGCTGCATCAATAGCAGCCCACAAGTCCTGCAAACCCTAAACTTTGCCCACACTTGCCGAGTGAAATCCCAAAGAAAAGAGTAAGCCAGTTTGCAGATTTTGTTCGATTTTTGTGTTGTGTGGTTGTTAGTTATTTAAATTTCAGCTAAATGAATATAATTGTTGTTGTAATTTGTGTTGTGGGGTTGTTAGTTATTTATTTTTAGTGGTTTTTGTTGTTCCTATGATAGTAATGCTTATGTTGTCAATTAGAAGATTTTGATTGAAATGTTGTCCTCGATGGGTGAGTCTCTCGATTTATGTTATGATTGTGTTGAAGATGTTAAAATTTCAGATTTTAATTTTTTTTTTATCATTTTTTGAAAAGAAAAATAAAATAAAATAAAAAAAAGAACCGAACTGAAATTTCGGTTGAGTTTCGTTTTTGGCAAAAAACCGAACCCAGCCCTAAACGTACCATAGTTTGTTTTTGAGAAAAAATGATGGTAGGGGATTTAAGACCCTATTATGGACTTTATAAAACTAATTTCAATTTTAATTATATGTGCTTATTTAATAGAGAAGTCGATCCCAATGAACTTAGAAGATTTTACTCGATGCATGTTTTTTATAGATATCTTGTTGGAGAATCAAATTGAGGCTATTCACATATCTTTAACAATCATTGAGTAATATTAGAGAGTTTAAACAAGATTTTGGTTATGATTTGAAGCCAATTCGAGAAAGTTTTCGAAATTCTTATTAAGAAAAAAACCATGAACAACGTCGACCTCGATTCTGGCCAAGACGATGAAGAAGTCAACGGAGTGTAGAAGGGGAGGAGTTGGTGGCGGAGATGTGGGAATGGATGTAGGGAGTGGGTGGTTGGCCGGAGGTTTTAGGTACAAGTGGGTGAGTGATCAAGTGTTCGGTGGCTGCATTTTCATGTTTTTACTATTCTTTTTAACTTTTTTTCTTTGGTTTAAATTTTTTATTTTTAAAGTTTTCACTTATTTTTTGTTATTATAGTTTTTGAAACTTTAACACGTGTGCTTCACAGATGTGCCACGCGAACAAATTAGTAGAAATTATAACATAATTGGGAAACAAAAGCAATTGATTAGTGGGTAGAAGGCAAAATTGATGAGTTTAAAATACAAAAGTCATGAACTTGTGACCTACCTTTTTAACGAATGACGACATACTATGCGGCATTATCTACAATTTTATTCTTTTTTTTTTCCTCCATATAACCCACCATCCATCCTAAAAAATCACACACCAAAATCAAAATCTCTATCATTATTCATAGTTTATGTTCCTTCATAATGTCACAATCTTGTTGAGCCCTTATTTCTTCTTTAAACTCTTCCCTTTCTTGCCTAAGTAGCTCTCTTTCTCTCTCATTAGCTTGAAATAATTTCTCAACAACTGCAACTTTTGCCTCTTTTCTAGCCTTATCAGCCTCAAATTTGGCCATTTCTCGCACCAAAGTCAATTCACCTTGGCGAGCAAGTTCTTCTATATATTTTGCATAATCATTCTTGGAAGCACTCCCTTTTCTCTTTGAAGCCTTCTTCCCTTGCGGCCTAATTAGATAACGGGTCGACCCCGATGCTTGTTCAGGGGGCATTTTCAACACTTCTTCTGTGTCGGCTTCATGAACATGTGAGTCAAGAACGGGCGTATAATGTAGAGGGGTGTTGTTCAAGACAACTTCTGGACCGACAGGCACAACTCTGAATTTAGGACAATCTTTGACAATATTCCCCAACATTCCCACCAGGTGAATGATTTGTTTTTGTTTTTGGTTTTGGCATTATACGAAGCTTGTGCTTGAAGTATCTACACAATGCGGGAGAAGAAATAATTATAATCAAAGTAGCTAATCTAAATTTGGGTATAGTACAAACAAATAAATAATATATTGTTATATGATCCGCTAAATTTTCCCCACTTCGAAGATTAGCACTAGCTTGTGCCAAGGCGTCTCTCCAAAGACTAAACGATTGGCTGAATATTCTCCAACGATTGGACATCGATTCTTTGGTTCATTTCCCACCAATTTTCTCAAGATAATTGGTATGAATAAGACTCTACATTTCTCGCAACTGCATCTCATTACCCGTAATCCGATCATGAGTAACTTCAACCCAGCTAGAACACAACGTAACATCTTCAATAAGCGTCCAATTCGTACTTGCATCATTAATCATTTTGTTAGAAACCAATTGGATTGAAACTTTGAGAGAAAGATTGGAATGTGGTTGAAAGTATTTGAGAAAATATGAAATTGTGGTGTAAGGTAGAAGATAATGAGAAAGTATTTATAGAAAAGTGAAAATCAAATTTTTTTTTTAATTTTTAAGATTTTTTATTACCTTGAATAATTTCTGCTGTTGGATTAAAAAAATTTGAAATCCAACATGCCAGAATGTGCCACATGGCACAACGGTAACATTTCAAATTTTTTTAATGTTAATTCTTTTTTTTATAATTTATAAAGGTGAATAATGTAGACCATTGATCTCAAATCCAACGGCTGATATTGCCGAAAGTTTCAAATATTTTTTTTTATCGATGGAAATCCAACAGTCCAGGAAAAGTAATCGTTGAAATCCAACGGACGAGAACGTGACACGTGGCCACCAACGGTAACATTTCTGCCGTCTAAACCGTGGGCCCCAGCGCCTGAAATGTTGTCGAGGTTGCACCCCTACGCGCGCGTGTTGTGCACTCGCCTGACACAAAAATAATTAAATAGTGGCTGACACCACCCTGACGTCAACGTTGCATCACTTTGCCCTCGGGCTCTCGAGCTGAGCCTTTCACTCACCCCCCCCCCCCCCGGTCTGCCCAATCGCCCTCTAGACTGGAGCTTGCAGCTTTAACTATTGAGTTGGTAAAGTTGCCGGTCCATCAGGCTAATTGGCCCGGTGGAGTTGCTCTTACGAGGACGATGACATCACTTGTTTCCTTTTATAACCCAAACCCTTTTTCCCATGGACAAGGATTGTCTGCCCTCCTAGTTTCGGTACCCTCCCGTGCCCTCCTGTTTGTTTGGTCACAGTTAAATCACGTCAACATTTTATATTACTATTCATTTTTATCTTATTATCTCTATAAAAAAATAATATAAAATGTTGACGTAACTTAACCGTGACCATACAAAATAAGAGAGCACAGGAGAGCATCAAAACTAGAAGGATAGAGAATCCTTGTCTTTTTCCCATTAACCAAACAGTAAAAAATGACGAAAAGGATGAGTAAAACAATTCAAAAATGACAAAAAGGTGAAGCGAAAGTACCTGACTTTCGCTCGCTTCCCCATGATCTTCCTTGGTTTTCTTCAAAATCGGGGCATGTTCTTGACTTGGACTTATTCAATGCGATGAGTGCAGCAGATAGAGAGCAGATGATTTAAATTGGCCTTATATGTGGGTATTTATGGGACAGATTATATAACCTCCCGCCCCCGACTTAAGTTTTGTTTTAAAATTTTCCCCACAGCAACGTAAATTTTTTTTTTTTTTTTTTAAACGATAAATTTGTTAGATTAGATGTTAGATTAGGAAGTCGACGGGATTAGAACCCATGCCGTGGTACAAAGGTAACATTCTTCTTCATCAATGTGGTAAAGAGCCACTTAGCAAAACTAGAAAGTTGGTTCATCGGGAAACAACTAAGTAGTGGTAGATTCAAGACTTTGCCCTCGTTGCATCCCAATGGTAGAGCATCGCAAATAAATAAATAAAATTCTAGTTTTTAAAGGTGAGGCATTTCGTCGACTATTTGACCGACCCATATTATTGTATGATTAACGTACATTCCACTTTTTAGTGCTATTTTAATTGTTTTTTTTTCTAATTTGTCAATATTGTTATAGTGAAATAAAATAAAGAGTTTAATTATATATGTGTAGAGTCGGGAGCTCAAATTGATATGACGATTGAGAGGAGGAAAGTTTAAAGAGGCTTTTATTTTTCTAAATGAGTAATTTTAAACTTATATATATATATATAAAGGTCGTATTTCGCTAAACACATATAAAATTTCCCTTGTTCTTCTTCTTAGTGATCAGCCATGACCAAATCTTATGTAACGCAAATTAATGCATGTTTCTTAAATGCAGAGTCTCGAGATCTTATGAAGTCTATATAATAAAAATAATGTGAATTAAAGAAAAAAACTAACTACATTAACAACATTCCAATATAGTGATATCAATCAATTAAAAATACGTAGTATCAGTGTAGTTTTTAGATCGCTAGCTAGCTAGTCTTGGTCCATGCCATCGGTGTAGTTGTCTATCAACATCTGCAACGCATTTCTTGTCGTTGGCATTGGGTATCATGGCATCGTTGGCATTGGGTATCGGCACAAGGGACACAAATGGCTCGTCTCCAACCATTGAACAATGCAGTCTCCATGATAAAGGTGCTTGCAGGGCATGCGAGCAAGTGGTGGACTTCGATCATCATCAACGTGATCATGACCTTGGCCGTCAACGTTGAAAAATCCCTCCATGCAAATAACGCAGAAAAGCGACGTTGTATCATTAGCTGCTGCTCCTTTTTTTAACAGGCCTTGGAGATCAAGTAATCTCACTTTCTCCAAACCGTCGATGGATGATTTAGTCGCAGGAATATACTTGACTTCAGTCTCACTAATCCTACTAGGTACAACTGGGTGACGGCGTCTCAAATGCGCAGTGAAGTCCTCAATGTTGACTTCAATAGTCTGGAAGGGGACGACGTCTTGTTCGTCAATCAACCGAAACACTTTGGCGATAATATTTGGTTGCTCTTCTTCTGGGACTTGAATATCTGTAAGATCCCTAGCAATGCGCTCTGCTGAATATGTCAGTTTGAAAGAGCAAAGGCGCACCGTTAATAATATTTCAGCTGTTACACATTGTTCAAAACGAAAGCCTCTAACTATCGGTGTACCACCAGTTGTTTCTTCTTCTTCTTCTTCGTCTTCGTTAATCCAACCTCTTCCTGTTGTTTTGTAGTACCTTAAATTGATCATAACCAAGCCTTCCTGCCCTGCCTAATCATTATCTCTTTGTGGCATGCATCGTCGTTCACCCACGCCAGGCTATCAAAATGGTGTATACATATCTCGCTGGATGATGGCTGCATGATTATTGGATATCAATCAACCAATAATATATGGATCGGAGAATTTAATTGCTTAACGGAGATCGGTATACAAACTCTAGTAACTTGTAATGTACATATATATAGCTAGCTTATGTCCCTAAATTCTAAGTCGAGGAGGCTTAGGTTTCCTAAGCCTGTAAGGAATGGGATTGTATTCTGTTTCTCACAAAAAAAAAAGGTTTTATAACTCACTAATTAATTCTACATCCTTCCAATCCTAGTCTGATACGAACTAGGGTTTAGTAAGATTTAGCGGATCGGAAAGTAAGAAAAAAGATACCTCATCATCTATCTTTATAAAACCAATTTCAATTTTAATGTTATATATGGATGCTTTTTTGATAGAAAAGTTGTTCAAATCTTATACATCCAACTTATTGTATGGAGTAGGATTTTTTTCTCTCAAAATTTAATTTCCCTTCAGACTCCTCATATTTGAATGATTACGTTTAAATCCGTCAACATCTTTTCTTAACTTCTTTATAGAAGGAGAAGAAGAGAAAAGTGGGAGTAGGAGACTGGAGCCGGCAAATTTGGAGGAAAAGAAATTTCTACTCCCTTACTGTACCACACCACATGTGTCAACTTTAATATTAAGAAATGTAGACATTTATTTTCAACTTTATTTGCGGTTAACTTGTTATAAAATAAAATAAGTGATAAAACCCCGGCCAAAAAAGGCGCCCAACCACAACCAACACTGGAAAACCACTCGCCAAGCGCTCAGTCCCACCGGCGAAAATTCTTCCACTCCTCACCTCCATCCAAGCCTTACTTCACCACTCACTGAAAATTGAAAATAACAACATAATAATGAAAAACAAAACAGTGTTTATTCGAGACTATTTATGTCGAAATGATTTTCACGTCCTTTTTTTTTTTCAGTCTACGCAATCAAGGAACATAAATTAATAGGGTGTTCAAAAATAGTCTAATAGTATTTCTCTTCACTTATAAGTGAGAAGTCTTAGATTCGATTATCGTCGAAAGTGAATTTGAATCACATTATTGCTAACTTATTATGAAGCTTAATCTACCCCCTCTTTTTTAGTGTACATAATATTATTTGTTAAGAAAAGAAAAAAAAAAAAAAAAAGTTTCACCCAATTGTCACATACCCACAAGCCCATGTTCTATAAGCCCAATATTCCCCTCACAAAATCTATTTTTTTTTCTTTGCTCTGAAAAAAAAAATATTCAATTTAGAAAGGAAAAATCATAGAATATACATCATTTGTATGAATGATGGCATGTCAACTCGCAACTGAACTCGGTTGGGTGAGTAGAATGGAGCTGGTGGTGGTGTTGAATACTCTACTAACTTTTGTGCCAAAGCAATTAGGGCTGAGAAAGAAAGATGTCTCAGCCTTGGGTTTTAGAACCTGAAGATAATGTTACTAGATCACTGTGAAGTTCAACAATTAGTTCAACTTTTGTTGTGCCGACCAAGGAGTAAACTAGGAACATCTCACTTCGCTGAAGTTGGTGGTTGGATTTTAAATACCTACCAACTGCTTCGGCATAATATGGATTGCTGCAAGTTGACGACCATGATTACCAGAATTCGAAATTAACAAAGATATTCTACAAAACAAATACATCGTTAGTAATATAGATAATATTATCATTTTTTCTTTTTAAAAAAGAGATTAGCTGGTGGCTTTCCTACGGCAGTCCATCCTTTTGGGGGTCGAGAAGACTCACAGAGGCATTTCAGCCTTCCTTGACCACCATCATGCGATTCACCAGCACTAGAAATCAAACTAGAATGTGTCATGTAGAATATATGCCTGAAATTCATCTCCAACTATTGAATCATCCCGTGATGATTAATATAGAATATTATCACTAGACTTACTATTTGTTTTATTTAGCAAAAATAATGTATGATAGTTCAAGAGTTGCGCTGCAATTGTCACTGATGCTGGCGGCCCAAGGACCAAACCACACTACTTTGATGTTGTAGTGACTAAAAAAGTAAACAATGCAAACTATTCTTTAAATGGTGACAAAGAAGCACTAACCTTTGCTTACATTACTTGTAGTGCAACTAAATGTTAATTTATTAGAACACACTAGCTTTTTGTTGTGTCTCTCAATTTATTTTTTGATTAATTATTACTTCTCAACGAAAACAAATTAAATAAAAGTATTCATCATTATTTTATTTTTTAAACAAGCGATATTGCTCTTTTATTGTTTTTAATAAATGCATTTATGGTTGTGTTTCTTTTATAAGTACTGAATTCAAACCAACCACGTGTAGTTTTTTATTTTTATTATTATTATTTTTTTAACAAATGATATTATTTACACAAAGAGGGTAGCCGAGTGGGCTAAATCTCACAATGAGTTAGCAATAATGTGGTTCAAATTCGCCTTTAATGAAAATCAAATCTAAAACCTCTCACTTACAAGTAGAGAAGAGTACTATTAACTCGTAATACTAAGTGGCATGAACCACATGTAGTTAATTATGTTTAAATGGATAGAAAATTAAAAAAATGTTGGCTTATGTTTTCAACTTTACCCTTAAGATCTATTTTCTTCCCAACCCTCTATTGTCACATCCCGACCCGGGGCGTATCACTTTCCGGGCCCGCTCCACCACCGTAGCACGATATTGTCCGCTTTGGGCTTACCATTCCCTCACGGTTTTGTTTTTGGGAACTCACGAGCAACTTCCCAGTGGGTCACCCATCATGGGATTGCTCTAGCCTCCTTCTCGCTTAACTTCGGAGTTCCTACGGAATCCGAAGCCAGTGAGCTCCCAAAAGGCCTCGTGCTAGGTAGGGATGAGAATATACATATAAGGATCACTCCCCTGGGCGATGTGGGATGTCACATCTATCATTTATGGAAGTTAGCCCTTAATTTACAAGATAATTAAAGAAGTACAAAACTTATGTCCATCCAATTGTGATTAATGTTTATTTATTATACAAATATTATAATTAGAATCATACATTTCCTTTATTATTATCTAAATTAGGACCAAGGAACAATTATAGCGCAGATAGAAGTATCATTCAACAAAGAAATATATGATACACAAATTAATTAGTCTCATTTATTGAATCCAAGATATCTTGATTACACACGGTGATTTGTTACCCGTCCGTTCAGGGTGGGGCATAAAATATCAATTGTACCACATATCTCTAGGCATGCACAACTCTTATTTACTAATCATGGGAGAAAATACATGTATAAATATCATTTCATGGTGGTATTAGTATCAGATACCACAGTAGGCCTTGATACGACCGGTCATATCCAGGTTGGAGAAAGCAAAAGTAATATAGCCAAGACCATCACATGGCTTGTAGCACAATGGGTGGTTCTCATCGGTTACTTCTTCTGGTGGTTGTATTGTTCCCCTGTTGAATATGAAAATTCCCACTGAGCACCTTTCCACATTCACGTCCCAAATCCTGACGCGATGGTTGCAAGCTTTTATTCTCTGGTTACTCCAAATCTGATTATTAACAAATTAATCAATCATTTATAATTAATTAATGAATAATATACGCTATAAGTTTTAATACTCATGATTTAGGATGTTGAAGTGTGAAGGCGGGGCATGGTTTAGGAGTGTATATATACGAGTTTGCTCCATCTTTTAGAAGTTTGCAAAATGCAAATTTGAGTCATATTATTGTTAGTTTATTATAAGGTTTAGTCTACTCTTTTTATCTTTAGTATAACTAATATCATACGTAAGAAAGAAAAAAAAAAAAAAAAAGAAGAAGAAGAAGAAGAAGTCTGCAAAAAAACTTTAAGCAACTTTAAAGTTACCAATTGTTCACCATCAGTCCTTTTAATTAATCTGTAAATTGTCTTTTTTATTTTTTTAATTATATTTTGCAATCACACCGATCAAGTTAGTTGGTACTCAGTTTTTAGAGAGCAACATACACGGAATGGATTCACTGCCACATAAAGTTCCGACCCAATCATACATTGCCAAGTGGATAAAAACTTGCATACGACAATGTTATTGGACATGGACACTATATGGTGGTGAACCTATTCCATATAAATGCTTCTCCTTTTTTAGAGGATGTTCTTGTGAGCTAAGCTATTGCTTACATGGATATCATAATGATATCATCCACATAGGTCATTTTTCATTCAAAAATATTACTCTTACTACATTTTTCATATCACATTAATATCATATTTCTAATAGAGATGAAACTCACATATGTTGGTGTGCCATACTTTTATTAGAGAGATTATACAAATATGATATGAAAAATGGTTAAGTGTAGCGTTAGTCTTTTTCATTTGGGGTGTTATCCACACATCCCTTTTTACTTCTCACACACCCCTTTTAATTTCTGTTATTTGATACTCTTCAATCCATCTGATCCGACAGCCGAAAATTAGAAGGATGTATGAGAAGTAAAAAGGAGTGTGTGGATATCTCACCCCTTTAAAGAAATATCTAATTTGACCTTTATAATGCTAGGGAGACTAAATTTCTACACCAAGTTTTGTAAACCAAATAATGTGGATGTTGATAATTAGATTATTGCTTAAGTATTGATTAATGTACTTATTTTTTATTGATGACACATCACACATCATTTGATTTACAAATTTGGTCTCCATAACATTATCCTTCAATTAACTCATACTTACCTGCAACATGTCTCCTGCGAAGACTATGAAGTGGCCAGGTGAGGCGTCAATACCCACAAAGGTTCCATCCTTGGATTTGATTTCTAAACCGCCAATTTGGTGCTGGAAAAGTATTGATATGAAGCTTGCGTCGCTATGGTTTGGAAACCAAACACTAGTACCAGTGATGTCGATGTCTTTCATTTCTCTATACTTGATTAATCGAAAAACGTGGTCATTGAAAGCAGCAAAGGACTCATAGTGCTTCGCTGCAACACCATAGCTTTCGAACAACAATCGCATCACCCGTTCACCCAACTCTTCTATCAACTTCACATAACTGTGAGTAGTTTCACTGCACATGTACATGCATATATAACAAACATTTATTAAAAAAATAATAATTAAACCGAAGATAGAAGTCAAGCAAATTCAGAACCATATTATGTCACATATACGCGAACGAACCAAAAAAATTATACACACACACACACACACACATGTTCCACGCAAATGTCTGCAAAATATGTGATAAGAAATTAACACGAACGATAATATATTAATTTGATTAATATTACCAGAAGTTATCTTTGCCAGCAGGCCACACGAGGTTCATGAAATTCTGCACATCTTGGAAGCTTGTAGCATGACTAATCGCAAAGGTCTCGGAGTAAGGAAGCCTAGGACTTGGTCCAATATATCCACGGAGTACGTCGTCGCCAGTGTGGCTAAGTTTGGTTTCTGTGGGCAGATCAAACAGATCCTTAGACTGGGCCATTACCTTGTCAACAAGTTGAGCCGGAACTCTGTCATACGCCGCCACGAAACAACCGTACTCTTCAAGTGCATGTCTTACTTGGTCTGGCGTGGTGCCACTGCCACTATTTGTGAAATCAATGATAGGAATTTTTAGAGACGCTGTTTCGGAACCCGATCCCATACTTGAGTTTCGACTGATCGTCACTAACGTGGTGTGTGCGAATGTGAGTGAGTTTAACCTTTTAAGTGAGCCGAATGAGGATGCATGGAGTTGAGATAGATAGATATATATATATATATATATATATATATATATGTATATGTGTGTGTGTGTGTGTGTGTGTGTGTGTGTGGTAGCTGGGCAGTGATATTAGGTATATGAAATTATTAAATAATTAATTTTATGTTCATCATGATGCGTGTGTGTGTGTGTGTAGTAGCTGGGCAGTGATATTAGGTATATGAAATTATTAAATAATCAATTTTATGTTCATCATGATTCACCAACACGATATTTTCTATTATATGTGTGAATCATGTGATATGGCTTTCGGATGTTCAAAGGATGTGGAGCGGCTACATAATTTTATTTTTTTATTTTGTTTCTGTTTAAATAATTTCCAAAATTTATCTTAGAATTTCGTTTGATTTCTCTCTTTAGGAGAGAGTTTGCTAGTTTGATTGCTCTCAATCAAAATGTCACAAAAAAAAAAATAAATAAAGAAAAAAGAGTCGCTTGCTAGTATCATCCAAAACCTACAATTAGCTGTCGGCTTGTTGCTTTCTCCCGCGCATTAAAATAAAAAGTTTGGAGCAGGAATGTAGGACTTCATGCACGTTACAAGGACCGTAATCATAAACAATCTATCTTCGTTTTTTTTTTTTCTTTTTCTTTTTTTTTTTTATAAAAGGGGTTCACCATGACAATTTATCTTTTCGAGAGCCGAGAAAACTCATAACTGCATTTTAGCCTTCCTCTAGCTACTATCATACGATTTACCAGTGACAAGAATCGAATCTAGAACATGCCGTGCAAAATATGAGCCTGAAATTCGTACTGAACCATTGATCCATCCCGTGGTAGTTTCACTAGATCTTAATTTTGGGTTTGGTATAAAGACAAAATTACCAAAATCGATTTTTTTATATATATTGCCAACTAACATAATGATAAGGCAATAATAAAATGCTTATAAAAAAAAATAAACGAATTAATCAAGTATATATCACATGTTCCCATTGGCATTTTCCCCAAAATTGAGTTCAGTTCATAAAGAAAATGATATCCATCCACAAGTGCACATAACAAATCTGAAAAAAACAATTACTTAAAAAAATATGAACATGAAAACAAGAAAATAATTTCATGCCCCATTTTTCTTTCCCTGTATTTTCAATTGAATAATGTAAAAGAAAAATCAATGGAAAGAAATGTGACTAAAGAAGAAAAATAAAGTGCATAATTTTTTTAAAAAAAATATAACATAAATTAACAGGATGCTAAAATAAAAATGAGTGTTTATAAAATATTTTTATTTTTCTTCACAATTAGACCATTTCTAACCTTTAGAGCAATTCCACCCCAGCCTGATAGGCTGACACCCAGCTTGAAAAATGGGCCGGCCTCCCCTTTTTTTTGCTCCACCCCAGCCTAACAGGCCATAGGCCAGCCCATAATTGACAGACCCATGGAACAACCCATTTGACGCCAACGTGGTGTCGGAGAGAGAAGGACGGGAGGACGAAGCGGACGACGCGGCCCTGGGTGCACTTGATGCCCTACCATTGGCAGTAGTCAAAGCGCTCGTTGAGGGTGTAGAGGAGCTTGATGTTGAGGTCGGCTTGGGATTTGAAGGACAGGATGGCGACGACGTCAGAGGATGAGATGAGGTGGTTTGGAGGCGACGGTGGGAATGGAAGGGAAGTGGAGGGGTGGACGACGGTAGCGACGAGGAAGAAGGGTGGAGATGCAGAAATTAAAAATATTTTAATAAAAATATTATTATTTTATTAAAAAGTCAGAAATTAAAGGTTGAATTATTATTTTATAATAAAAATTAATAATATTTTAATAAATTTGACTAGGCTATGTAGTTTTAGGGGTTGAGATGCATTTGACCAATTTAACTATTCACGGGGTCTATCACAGTTCACTGAGTGGATTAAATGGGTTAGGTGCCAGCGCATTTTTTAGGGGTGGACTTGCTCTTAGGAATAAAGCTTAAAAATTTAAGTCATAACCGATAAACTGCTTTTCTTCTTCAATAGTTATGACTTAAAATTTTTGCCCAAGATTATTAAATGATGATTTTAGCCTAATTTTTTTTGGTAAATTTTTTGAAAATAAAATTTATGTAGATTATCCTAATTTATCTTCATGAACATTTTAATCTTAAAATATTTAAATTTTGATAAATAAAGTGAATTTTGATTTTAAAAAAATTATTTTAGACATTAGATTTGATTTTGGGCTGTAATTTTTTTACCGTTAAATTTGATCACAACTGTCGGATTATAAGTAAAAACAAAAAAAAAGTTTGAAATATAACAATTTGGTGGGTGTAGAATAATTTAAACTAGACTTAATTTCTAGGGAGTTTAGCCAAAAGATATTATTTTCTCTCCAAAGCTTATTTTAATTCAATAGTTGGAGATGATTTAGGAATGGAGGTTTAACGCTTATATTTTAAGTTTTATTTTATGAGACGATGTAATGCTTTATGATCACCCAATGGGCCAATTCTTCCATACCCACACCAAGCCCATATTCTATAAGCCCAATAATCCACTCTCAGAATCTATTTTCTTTGTTTGTTTTTTTTTTTATGAAAAAAATCAATTTACAAAGAAAATCTCAGAAAATACAGAGAGAGCGCGAGAGAGAGAGAGAGAGAGAGAGAGAGAGAGAGAGAGAGAGAGAGATGGGGAGAGAGGTCTCAGAGAGCTGCGTGGATAGTCTACTGACAGAGATGGTCTCTATGTACTGCAATCGGTTATACGCCAACAAGCCCGAGCTCGCCGCCAGTAGGATCGACGCTATTGGCTACCAGGTCGGCCACCAGCTCTCCGAGCGGTACACTTCCCCGCCTATATCCTAACCACCCTGCCCTCTCTTGTTCTTTCCTTTATTTCATTGTAATTGAATTGGATTTGTTTGATCTCACAGATTTTTGGGTTTTTAGATCTGAAATGCCTATTTTCGAAGTGTTTGATCTCGTAATTTGTTCTCTTTTTTCCGTTTGTAATGATTTGGGAGAGTGTTTGGTTGCTGAGAAAATGTGGAATAGTAATTCGAAGTGTTTGATTTCGAAATTTTTTCTCTTTTTTCGTTTGTAATGATTTGTTAGAGTGTTTGGTTGCTGAGAAAATGTGGGAAAGTAAAGCATATGTGTGTGGCATTGAATCCTATGCTATTCTAGGTCTACTTATAATTTAAAGTTAACAAAATAGTGCTCATTGTAAATTGTAGGAATAGGAGTGTGATTATGGATAAATTTCACTTGTTAGGTACACGATGGAGCGGCCTCGGTTTACTGATCATCTGGATGCAATTAAGTTCATCTGCAAGGACTTTTGGTCCGAGCTCTTCAAGAAGCAGATTGACAACTTAAAGACCAATCATAGGGTAATTTGTGTAGAATCGAGTTGAATTGGGGTTCTTTGTCAATGTGTGAATTTGATAAAGGCTAAGATGGTTTTCGTTTGTGTTGTAGGGTACTTTTGTATTGCAAGATAATCGGTTTCGTTGGGTTTCACGCATGTCACTCGATCCTTCCGAAAATGGTGACTTGTCTCAAGAAAATGCCGAGGCGGCTGAAAACAAGGCAGCAGAAGAACCAAACATGCATCTCCATTTCTCATGTGGAGTCATAAAGGGTGCTCTTCATAACTTGGGGATTGCTTGTGCTGTTTCTGCCGACACATCCCACCTTCCTGCGTGTAAGTAGTTCTCTGTTTAGTGCTTTAGAATTATGAGTACATTTTCTGTGCCAACACTGTATATGACATTGTTTTTAACAAATATATGCTCCTAAACATGTAAAGTTAGAAAATTTGATATACCTGTGATAATTCATTGTTTTTGGAGTAGATCATTATATAGAATCTATACCCTCCACAATCCACTTATACGTTAAGCATCACTTTGCAGTGTTATCTGCCTATATCCTCTTAGTAATCTTACCAAAAGTGAGTTACGATATTTTGGGCTACTGAATAACTGTCTGTCTGTATCTCACTAGTCATGAGATGATTCTCACCTATGCTAGTGCTTTAATGTTTTTCGGCATATTTGAGGTGGTTCATGTTTAGTTAGAGCAGTATATTACATTGAAGTGTAGTAATCAGTAAGAGGACAATTCTTGGGAATTTTTGTTGTCCAGCCATGCTTAGAATTCCATATTTCCTGGATAAATGTGACAAAGTCAATCATAATCTGCCCGGATAGTATCACCTTCGAACCCTGTATTTTCTTCTCGTGGGCTCAGGTATCTGTTTCCTAGAATGAATACTTGGTGGATCATGGGTTTCACTTTGACTACCTATCACTTGGAATATAAATGCCATCAGTTGATCCAATAGCTCGTCATTCCAACTTGTTTTATCCTATATAGCATCAAAAGCCTCAACCTCTTCCTGACTCAAATTTTTTATAAATTAAACGGCAAGGGGTGAAGCATTTTACTTTGTTGTGCATGCAGCTTGCTCCTTCATTGCAATTTGACACCGATAAGAATCTGTTTATTTCCTTACATGCGTATCTGTGTTTATTTTCATACATGGGTATCTGTCTCATTATTATTTCATGCACTGAAATACTGAATCTGACATGATCTCACGACATTCTCGACAAATATTCCATTCATCCTCGTTATCTCATATATATACGGTTGCCATCATTCATAAATGAACTGTAGCTGGCAAGTTGGCTTGAGATCTAAAAGATTATCGTTGCTTGGTTTTCCGGCATCCTTATTGCAATAGCAATTGATTCTTTCTGCTGAAATTGTTGAACAGGTTCATTCGTGGTTCGTATAAAGCCCTGACGAACGCTTCTCCAAGGAACTTTCAGAAAAAAGTTGGGGTTTACTTCGTCGGCCTATTGAGATTTGTAATCCTTCTCCTTCTCTCGTGTACAAGAATTTTTACCGCGATTTCAGAATTTAGTTGTAACCTTCAAACTGAGAAGATTCATCTCGGGGAAATCACAAGATTGTACTTACTAGTGTTGTGAGGGTGAGGAGAATGTTGAGAAACATGAATTGTATTTATCCTTAACTCCTAATATAGAACGTTGAGCCCACAATATTTACTTGTACCTTGTTACTAAATCACCCGATTGATCAACCTTGACACCTATTTTTATCGTTAAGCTACTTGACAACACAGAAAACTATTGTTCAACTATTTGACACCAATTTGTTAAAAAAAAAAAAAAATGGCTATTAGATGCCAAGAAACCAAACCATCATACTTTGAAGATCAACTGACATTGAATGGGTTTAATGGCTCGTGCTGCAAGGCTTCAAAAGGCGATAGTTTGGTAGGAAAATTTTTATTTTTTTTAGTAAATTTATTATACAACATATAAATAAGTGTGTTTATACTTAAAAAAAGATTATACTGATTTAGAAAATCAGAAAAAAAACAAAATGCAAATTAAAAAATACATACATACAAATTTTCATAAAAAAAAAGTTAGAATATGATTGGGTTAGGAGAAAAAGAAAATTTAAAGGAATATAAAAATGAGAAGAGCCACTTCGTACGATGAGATTCCCGATCGGTTTGATCGAATTACTTAAAATCTTTCTCCTTATGGTGAATCTTTTTCCTACGCCTTAAGCCACCGAAAGGTGGGGAGGATGAAAAAGGGGATGACCTCGATTGAAAGGGAAATGGCAACCAAAAGAGATCTCCTCGTAGGAATAATTTTTTCTTTTCGTTGATTTGTGAAACTCGAGTCAATGGCTACGCAGTATAGTGGAGAGCCAAAAAGAGGTTGGCCCGCTTCATTGGCCAAGTGAATGATCTTCGTTTCGCGGAAACAACAAAAACCACCATCGTGGTATTCTTTTGTCTTGGGTTTTATTTTTGCTAAAATCGAATTTGAACTACATTATTAATAAATTATTATGAAGTTAAGCTCATCTCTTCTTTTTTCATGTACATAATATCGTTTGTTTAAAAAAATGAAAAAGACCATGATTAAGATGGTTGGGTCGGTGAGGAAAAGATGATGGGGATAAGACGATGGGATTTGGATCCCAATTGGATCCAAATTATGAGAATACTAAGGATCCTCACATCCTAACAGTTTATTGTATATCTTGCGTTAGAAATTATTTTTAATTTTGTATTTAATATTAAACATAAATAGTAATTAACGAAAAATAATTGCAAGATATACGATAAAACGGTTAAAATGTGAAAATTTTATGAAGCCTCAAAAAGAGAGATGGTGGGCCGACGAGAAAAAGACAATATGGCGGGGTCAGAGAGGAAAGAGAAGATATTTAGTAGAGTAAATTTACGAAATTACCATCGCAGACGAATTTGCGGCAGTTTAACATCCACGGTATCACAATCCAATAATTGTCGTCCAGGTCCAGGGTCCTAAAGTCAAACAGTAAAGCAATTCCATTCAATTGGGCCCAAGGATTCAAGCATCCAGATTCGCACACGTGGCGTCCTGTATGCTTTCGTGGCCCCACCGCTGTCTCCACTACTCCACTCACTCCACTAGTCCACTACCCCTTCCGGCTACCGTGTGAAACGGCAAGCAGTCTTGCTTTAACCAGGGTTTCCGAGCACTACCATCTTCTCTTTTTCTTGTTTTTCTTGGCTTCTCCGGCACGACGACGACGTTTCACCTGGGGTTTATGCGGCGGCGGAGACAATGGAGAAGATACAGGCGGAACTGAAGGAGGCGGAGACGAAGCAGAGGAGTCTGAGCAAGGCGTACGAGTGCGTACACGCGCAGGCGACTGCGCTTATTATCTTCGCCGTGCAATGGAAGGATCTGGAGGAGCACTTCGAGTCGACTCGGTACTCGCTCGAGTTGCAACTCCGGGAACTCGCCCGTCGCGAGACGGCGGTCCAGGTGCGGTACGGGGAGTTGGAGGCGAAGGAGATGAAGTTCAACTCTGAAATCGAATCGAAAGCGGACGAGTTGGGGGGGCTTCAGAGGCTGATCGACGAGAAGGTTGAGGATGTTATACAGAATAAGAACCACTTGCACTCTCTCCAGTCATTGATTCAGGAATGTAGCAATGAGGTTGTGGTGCAAGAGACGAGATTGATGGAGGCTGAGGGTTTTGTTGTGGAGAAGAAGAGGGAGTGCGATTCGATTGAGAGGCGGGTTGAGCGGAGGCAGAAAAAATTGGATTGGGTTGAGAGAAGGGTGGAGGAGAAGTTGAAGGTGGCGGAGGAGAAGTCGAAATTGGCTGAGGTGAAGGCGGAGGAAGCGAGGGGGTTTGAAGAGGCGTTGGAGAAGTGTGTCGAAGAGATTGAGTTGAAGAAGAGGGAGTTGAATGAGATTAGGGGGTTGATTGAGAAGCGCAAGGAGGAGTTCAATTCGATAGGGGAGCAGATTATGGGGGCGGAAGAGTTGATGAAGGTCCAGGAGGAGCAGCTGGGTTTTAAAGAAGAGAGAATTAAGGAGGCGCAAAGGGCGGTTGAACAGTGCGACAAAGAGTTGAAATGGAGAGAGAAGCTGATTACGGAGGCGGAAAGGGCGGTTGAAGAATGTGACAAGGAGTTGAAGCTGAAAAAGGAGAAACTTGTTGTCATTGATAAGTCATTAGTGGAGTGCTCGAATGCGCTGGAATCAAGAGAGAAAAAGATTAGGGAAATAGACTCGAAAAAGGATAAAGATTTGTGCTTGCGTGAGAAATCATTGGAGGAGTGGTCCTGTAAGCTTGAGTTTAAAGAGATGGAAGTTAGATTGGGAGAGAGAATTGTCGAGTTAAAAGCTGGGGAACTCCAAAAGTTGAAGGAAGGCGAAAGGTGTTTGGAATCTGTCTCGCAGGTACTTAAACAGAAAGAGAACCGACTTCAAGACCTTGACGAAGAGCTCGAATTGAAGCAGAAAGAACTTGATTTGATAAAAAAATCCACTGAAGAACGCGCCAAAAACTTGGAATTGAAAGAGAGGCAACTTGAAGATCAGACCAAAGAGCTTGAACTGAAGCAGAAAGGATTTGATTCGATAAAAAAATTCTCTGAGGAACGCACCCAAAACCTGAAATCGAAAGAGAATACTAGTATTCTTCTTTCTCATGTGAAAATTGAGCAATTTGAACATATCCCTGCCAACAATGTTGTTGTTCCTTCTACCTCAAGTAACCAGTCCAGCGTCAATATGGATGGTAGAGGCTTGCTGTTGTTCATAAATGAGCATTTGAAGACATATGTTCTATTGGGTAGTGAAATCTCAGCTGCTCTTCAGGCGTCACCAGACCCGGCAAAATTAGTTTTGGATGCTATGCAAGGTTTTTACCATGCAAATTCAAGTGCGGACAAAAGCGAGTGTGATTTTGATTTACGCATTACTAGGATGACTTGTAGCCTTTTGTTGGAGAATTTAAAGAGTGTCTCCCCCCAAATTAACCCTGAGGTGAGAGAGGAAGCAATTAAGTTGGCAGGTGATTGGAAGGTTAAAATGAGGACGGACAATTGCTTGGAGGTTTTGGGTTTTCTGCGGCTTGTTAGTACATATGGAATCACCTCGTTTTATGATGCGAAGGAGCTTCAAAGTCTTTGTGCGATTGTTGCTAAGGATGAACACACAACTGAATTATCCTGGGCTTTTGGTATGACTGGTGAGGCACCTGGTAAAATCTTTTTGCTTGTTCATATTTATATCTAAATTTCTAATTTGCTTGTGTTGTCTCTTTATTTTATTGCATACATATATGAATGGTTTCCTGATTTACTTTGAAAAGTCGAATGTTCCTATTATGTTTCTCACCCTTGTTCAGTCAATAAGTAGAACTGTATATCAGCAGCAACGATGCCTTTTAAGGGCTCGTTTGTTGTCCATAGAAGATGAATTTTTCACTAAGGAAACTTATCTCTTCCGATTAAGAATGGAAAATTTTCCTATTCGACATGCCTTAGAGTGTCTGCAGTTTAGAGCAGGATTGTTTACTAGTCCCTTGAGAAATTTTTGCAACGGTTGTCATATTTTGCAAAGATGACAGATTATCTTGCAATTACGTAGTGTATCTAGTTCTCTTCTCTTATCTCAGAAGAATCTCTTCTTTTACCATTTCATCTTAGATTTTATTCCAAAATAGTTTTTTTTTTTTTTTTTTTTTTGGGAAATTAATCTTATTGCAATTTTTTTCATGAACTTCATAATTGGTCGTTTATAGCATGCGTCAAGTTTTCTTCTCATTTATCTCATCTTCTTTTGATGCCATTTCATCTTAGATCCTCTTATTGCACATTTTACATATACTTCCGAATTGGTCTTTTAGGCCATCGTTATCTCCAATTTCCCCATAATACCATCTTATGCTTGCAAGTTTGCAAAACAAGTACATTTTGCTTTGATAGGATTCTGAAGTGATAGCTTATGACCACCACACCCACACCACACCTTACCATTTGACTCAAAGCACGACAGGACACAATGCTCTGGATACATTTGATATGTTACATTTGGAACTATTCACTCTCTAACCTGCCCACTGCATTTTCTTGTTTCGTACCACAGCCAAAATTGAGGCCCCAGAATCTTTACCGGCAAAAAATGCAGAAACTCGTTCTTCTCCGAATCTTCAGCTAACTGCCACCAGAGATGCTAGTGCTACTCATTTGCAGGGGTTTTTAAATGAGCTTTTCAGTAGGGATCGTTTGACACAGACCGAAACTTGGGCTGCTTTTCAATCGTCATCAGAACCAGAACCAGAAAAGTTTGTGATGGATGTGATGCAAACTTCTTTTGATAAATACTCCAAAATAGAGGATGCTGGTTTTAAAGAAATTGTCATGGCAAATTACATTTCACTACTCAACATGCTGATGAGAATTAAACCGCATGTTGGACATCATGTTAACAAAGATGCTCTAAAGCTAGCAATCAATTGGAAATTGAAAATTGGTGCCAGTACCCAACCCCTCGAGCTTTTGGGTTTTTTGCAGTTCATAGCTACATATGGACTGCTTTCCATGTTTAATAGAGAGACTTTAGTGTTGCTTGGAAGGATTTCTCAGCAGAAGCAGGCGCTAGAAATATGTCAGACGCTTGGTTTAGCTGATAAGATCCCTGGTAAGTTTATTAAATTAATTTCTCTGTGTGGTAGTTACTCAAATTAGTTTATCGGCATGCTATTTAAATTCTCTTTAAAAATTCCCCAAATTTGGCCATAGGTATCAGTCACTATAAGTGTCCCAGATGCCATTTTTGTGCCCCTTAGTGTGATAGTTACTTTTTGTTGGTTTTATACTGCCTGAAGGAGCTGATGGCTTGGGTGTTATTTAACGCTTTATAGATGATTGAGATGGTAGCGGCTTCTGTCCTAAATTCCTAATCCATTCTCTCGTAACCAAACTAAGCTTTTAATATCACCATGCAATGTGTGAAATACAAAATCGTGGATTAAAACTTTTTTCAGTCTTTCTTATTTCTTTCCAATTGAAACATACACAAAATTGATAGCAATATTAGAGAGAGAAGAAAATACGTTGATAAAAAGAATAAGAATGAGAAATTTTCTCTTACACATGAAAGAACTTCATCTGTTCATCCCTGTTCTTCAATGTCAAGAGTGAAGCTTTCTCAACCTTCTATAATCTTTCTTCCTCAAGATATTAGACCCCATCCTACTCTCTAGCCCTTTTTTTTATTGGAAAGTAGGACGTAGGTCATAATTTTGAAAAGAATGCTGCAATTACAAGCTCGAAAGACGGTTTTATTGAGAGACACATGTTGGACCGGTAGCTGTTTGATTTGCTGATAAATTTTGCAATCTTGGTGGATTAATCTGATAGGTAGTTTTCTGTTTCTATTCAAATCCTTTTGTGAAAAGTGCAGGGTTACAAATTTCCGGAGTATGATGATGCTTGTTCTCAAAACAAAGGGATTCCAAGTTGCTCAATCTTTTTCTTCCACTCAACAAATAATAGTTTCACAATTTACTAACAGTTGCCAGGGTTTTTGAAAACAGCAATGAAAATTAGTATGCAATTTTCGGTTGACAATTCGACTTCTCAGTTTTTATTTCTTTGTCATTCCTAGTTTTCGCATTATTCTTTTCTTTCCCTAATTGGGTATATTGCTTATATGTTTTAAATGGAAAAAAAATGAAACAAAAACTTAAAATTGTTCGGAGCCACAGGATCTTAATATGACACCTGTATGATGAGGTTTAAAGTTTAGGTGGGTTAGGAGAAGATAGATTAGGAGAGAAGCCGCTCCTGGGATTAAGAAACCAACAGTAAGTACGTCATATGAGATGGGTAAATGTACAATAAAGTTAAGCTATGAAGAGATTATCTACATAATGATCTTTTTGGCCTCAGTTAATTCCCCCGACGTGTATATTTTCATTAATTTGATATCTATATGGGAACAATTATCCTCTCTTACGATTTAGAGTTCCTGAGTTGGTGTTCTTGCTCACTGGTATTTTGTGTTTTCCTTGCATAATTTTGATTCTGCTTTAACTTGCATCTTTTTCCATCTTAAATTTTTTTCCTCTTGTTAATGCATTTGTCAACGTTACCTTCTTTATGTTTGGGTGGCACTACTATGATATTTTCGTCTTGAAACTTCTTTGGAGCAGTTTTGATAAATCCTGCAATTCTGTTTTATATGCAACAGAAATCATTCGGGGTCTTATTGAAAAGAAGCAACTAATTGAGGCCGTTCGATTGATTTGCCCGTTTAAGTTAATTGAGAAGTTCCCGCCAGCACCACTCTTGGAAGAATTTGTGGAGAATGCGAAGTTGTTGTGCATTCAAATGAGCAAGAGACATAAATTATTTTCTGAAAGGGTAACCATTGTATTTTCTTTCGACATCCGATATCTTCAATGTAAATATACATTTACTGACTCATACTTTTTACCTTTGTTCACAGGATAAGTGTGTAAACGACCAGATTGCTGCTCTTAGAGTTGTGATTCAATGTATCAAAGATTGCAACCTCGAGTCCGAGTACCCTTCCAGGTTCATTGAAACACGAATAGCTCTTCTGGAAAACATGAAGAAGAATCGCAGACGCCAAATGACATCTCCTCCCTCCAAGGTTGAACAACAAGGGAAGAAAAATTCTCGAGTCTCCAAGGTTGAGGGACAAGAGCAGAAACAGTCTCCTGCCTCCGAAGTTGAGGGACGGGAGCAGAAAAAGTCTCCTTCCCCTAGAGTTGAGGGACGAGAGCACATCAAACCTCTTGCCTCCAATGTCGAACAAGGGGCAGAAAAGCCTTTTGCTTCCACTGTTGAGGGACAAGAGCAGAAAAGATCTGTTCCCTCCCAGGCTGAATCAGAAGAACACAGAAGAGGCAAGAAACGTCAACCCAACACTTTGCCTCGCCGCATTCAACCACCACAACAACGTCGAAATATGTATAATCAGACATCTGCTTCCCCTGGTACATCCTATTCATCACCACTAATCACCCCAGGCTATCGGAAGCCAGGTCCGTTGCCTGGGGAGAATTTTCAAAGCCATGCCGAATCGTGATTAGACCGAGTATGAACCTGCTATACGTACTAACTAGGAAAGACCACTGCGTAACTCTGAAGTCCCGTCCTAGTTCGCAATGCTGCTTACGGATACCTTCCTCGTAATGTACCCTTAGTTTTTATGGTGGCACTATAAGTTGGCAACTCGTTGTCTTCTGTAAGTTGCACTACCACTATTTAGGAGAGGCGACATAATCTGACCTGACTATTGTAAATACCCTTTGGCATAGATAGTGTTGTTTTTGTTTTTTTTTTTTTTTTTGGGTCCAAACTTGACTTGGAGTTGTATGTATCCACAACCTTATAGCTCGTTTTAGAGTGTTTTTTGAATGACTGAAAATGTTTTGGTGAAATTAAGCGAAGCACCATGTATTTGCTTCTTGCAGGAAGCACCTAAAGGGTTTTTTCATGATCCATTTTGGATTTTTACGAAGGATTAGTTCTTAAAACATTTTTACAAAAAACATTTTCAATTCTTTTAAAAGCACTTACAAAACAAGTCTTAATGTTTTCTCACACTAGACTAGCTATAACAATGTGGTTCGATTTTGCCACAATTCGTCTTTGATGAAATTGAACCCGTAGATCTCTCACTTACAAGTGAAGAGGAATATCACTACATTGTAATAATAAGTGACGTGTTTTGTTAACACATGAACAACTCCTTTCTTTCTCACGTGCACAATATGTGACTTTGATTTAGTTGTGATTGACAAAAACTCCACGGCAAAAATCATTGAAATGCATTCATGTTGTGCACCACAACTTAAAACACCAAATTAAGAGAAAAAAAAAATATGGGAACTTTAACGAAAAGTTTTTAGTACTTGTTCATTTTAATGAAAAATCACATTTTTACATTAAAATATCAATTCTGATACTATTTACTTTACCCTTTATTTTGTTAAAACTTAAAATTTTCAAGCTCTTTTCATTAGTTTGCTTAAAAAAATAAAAGTTTTTAGGAATGAGATTAAAATGAACGGAAGTATTTTGGAAATCAAAAACAATTTCACCCAAAATTTTTTTAAGTCATTTTAAAATAACTTTTAAATAAGCCCTGAGCTTTCTTCACGTATTGCTCAGAGGACAAAAATTCATTTATCGAGCGTGCGAATATGAAATACAAGATTTTTATCCTTAAGGTTGGGTTGAACAAAATCGACATTTTAATTTGTCAACAATATTCAAATTATTATTATTATGAGATTTATTTAAATTTCGAGATTGTTATCAATCCATTATCCATTTACAAATTTTGAAATTTAAATCCGTTCAACAGGATAAATATTAGCATGGTCGTGGTGGGAAAAATGCAGTCAATTAAATGACTAAATATCCTTTCCAAAAAAATTAAATGACTAATAGAGTTGTATTCAATTAGGAATTTGAGAGATTTTAATGGATTTATCCATAGATTTTTATGAAATTTAACCGATTCGTAGAGATTCCATGTAAAATTTTAATTTAATTTCCTCAAAATCTAATGGGGAAATGTGAGATTTGTAGATGCTTAACTACAAAATCTTAGCAGTTCCCTCTAATTCCTCAACTTTTCCAAATTCTTTAAATTCTAATTCTAATTGAATACACCTGGAATGTTGTAAATTTCTTTAAAATTCTAATTGAATACACCTAGATTTCTAAGGATTTTAATAAAATATCTTAAAATCCTAATTGAATACACCTTAAATTTCAGAGAATCACTTAAAATCTTGATTGAATACCCTAAATTCATTAAAAGAATTAAAATCCCTCAAAATCCCAATTGAATACACCCCCTAAGCATTTGAGAAAGTTGAGGAATTAGAGGAAATTGGAGAGATTTCGTAGTGTATTTTAAGTATCCACAAATCTCACATCTTCCCATAAGATTTTGAAGGAATTGAATCAAAATTTTATATGAAATCTATACAAATCAATTAAATTCCATAAAAATCTCTCAAATTCTCAATTGAATACATCCCCTAAATATGAAAGAAAACAATACGAACGAAATAGTTGGACACGTGGCAAATTGCATGCATTGGGTGTCCCTCCTGTAATCTCTGAAGCATAACACGTGAACACAGTAGTTGAACAATACACAAACGCTCTCTTTTCTCTGCGCTCTCGTTACTCTGTTTAGGGGTTTTAAGAAACCGAACCTTCACAAAGGCGGGAAAATCTCCACACGGCGCTAGGGTTTCTCTTCGCCTTCTTCTTCCAGCTCCGCCACTTCTTCCACCAACCGTGGCTGCGTCCGCGCGGTTAAATTTTGTAACTAGGGCAAAGAATGGACAAGATTCAGGCGGATTTGAGAATCTCGGAGGAGAGGCAGAGCAGCCTCTGCAGAGCGTACGAGAGCTTGCATGCCGAAGCGAACTCCGTCGTTCTGTTTTCTCTGCAGTGGAAGGAGCTCGAGGAGCACTTCGAGTCGACCCGTAGCGAGATCCGGACCCGATTACAAGAACTCGAGAACCGCGAGAAGGAGATGGACGATCTTGGGAAGCGGCTGGAGGCGTCAGAGTTGAGATTCGACTCGGAGATGGCAGCCAAAGCTTTGGAATTGCGTGGAATCGAGAAGTCGATTGCGGAGAAAGTGAAGGAGTATGAATCAGGTAAGCTCCGCTTGAAATCGGTTGATTTGTCGATCGATGTTAAAAAGAGGCAAGTTTCGGAAGTTGAAAGCTTGGTTAGAGAGAAGGAGAGGGAGCGGGATTCAATTGATAGATGTATCGAAGAGCGGAACAAGATATTGAATTGGTTTGTGAAAAATGCGGAAGAGAGGTCTGTGGAGATTGAGGCTAAAGAGAAGGAAGTGGAAGAGGTCAGGACGGTGTTGAGCAAGTACGGAGATGATATTGAGTTGAAGGAGAGGCGGTTAAATTCGATTATGGAGTCGATTGAGGAGCGGACTAAAGTGTATGATTTGAAAGAGGAGGAGATTAGAAGGGCGGAAAGATCGATTGAAGAATGTGACAAGAAGACGAAATTGAGAAAGGAGAAACTCAGTTTGATTGAGATATCGATCAAAGGATGTGAGGAAGAGATGAAATCGAAAAAGGAGAAACTTAGTTTGATTCGGAAGTCATTGGCTGAATGCTCTAATACACTGGAATCCAGAGAGAATGCAATTAGGGAATTGGAGTTGAAAGAGAGGGATTTTTGTTTGCTCAAGAAACCAATGGAGGAGTGGTCCTGTAAACTTGAATATAAAGAAAGGGAACTCTGCGGATGGTTGGAGAAGCTTGAACTGAAAGAAAAAGGATTTGAGCAGAAACTAGAGGAACTTCATTTGATTGATAGGAGGGTTAATGATATCTTCGATGACGTTCAGTTGAAAGAAAAGCATTTGGATTCACTCCAACAAATGATACTTGAACATGAAAAGCGTTTGGATTCACTCTCCAATGGACTTCAAGTTAAAGAAAGGAAACTTGAACTACAGGCCAGAACGCTTGAATTTAGGCAGAGAAAGTTTGATTCTATTCGTAAATCCGCTGAAGAACGTTCCAAGAAAATGGCATTGGAGAAGAAGACTAATATCCTTAATTCTCAGGTGAAGATTGAGCAATTGGAACATAATCCTGCTAACAATCCCTCTGTTCCTTTGCCCGCAATTATCCAATCCAGCATCAACATGAGTAGTAAGGACTTGCAGTTGTTTCTGAACGAGCATTTGAAGAGACATGATTTATTGGGTACCGAAATCTCAGGGATTCTTCAAGCGTCATCAGACCCCGCCAAATTAGTTTTGGATGCAATGCAAGGGTTTTACCCTTCAAGTTTGGTTGTGGAAAATAAGGAGTGTGATTTTGACGTGAGCGTTATTAGGAGGAGTTGTATTCTTTTGTTACAGGAGTTAAAGAGAGTCTCACCGCAAATTAATCCTCCGGTGAGGGAAGAAGCAAGAAAGTTGGCAGGTGACTGGAAGGATAAAATGACGGTGGCAGTAGAAAATGGGTTGGAGGTTCTGGGTTTTTTGCTGCTTATTACTACATTTGACTTGACCTCCACGTATCCTGAGAGTGAGCTTCAAAGTCTTCTTCTTGTGGCTGGTCAGCAAGCACACGTTGCACAGGCTACTGGATTGAGCCTTGGCATCTCAGATAAGGCACCCGGTAAGCTTTTTTCTTTTATTCATATTTATATCTGAATTTTAATTTGTATAATTCTCTTTCCCTTATTTGAATATGTTTCCGCGTTAGATGGAAAAAAGGGAAATTGAATGCTTATAGTTCTTGCGTTGTAGATTTGCTTTATACTTATGCATTTTCGAGTACAACCGTAGAGTGTTCATTTACTTTAAGAAGTTAATAAGCAATGAGTTTTAAGCATATCTCTAAACAAGAGATCCTTTTAGGCCTAGTTGTATTCTGCAAAGAAGTGTTTTTATTTGATTTTTCCTAAATACTTTATCCCGTCTCCTAGTCAGAAAATCGTAATAGTTGCTGTGTGGTCATTTTATAACTATGTTGTTAGAGGCTCCTAGCATCTCTTGTCCATGTTTTTTTCTACTGATTTATTTCGCCGTGATCTCAGTGCTGGTGCCAAACACATGGTGCTCATCAGTATATCATTTCATGATTTTCATCCTTGATGCTAAATTATATTTTTAGGCAGTCACTTTCTCCAGTTTCCACATAATACCATCTGATGCTTTGACATTTATGCAAAATAAGATTTATACCTAATTGGTATGCTACCACCACCGCACCTTATCTCTTCACTGAAAGCACAAGTGGCACGGAATGCTATTAGTATCTCTTTTATTTTGGTACAGAATGATATAAATATCTTTCAGTAAAATCTTAAATTCAGAATTACCCTCGGTAACCTATCTACTACCATTTTTTGTACCTTACTGTAATTGCATAGAGTGCAGCATAACCTCTGTCAAAATTGTGGAACCTGAATCTTCACTGGCCAAAAGTGAAGCAACTTTATCTTCTCCATATTTTCAACCAAGTGCCACCATTGATGCAAGGACTTTGCAGGGGATTTTAATTGAGCATATGAAACAAAATCATTCAATGCAAAAAGAAATGTTGGCTGCTCTTCAAATGTCATCAGACCCAGCAAAACTTGTGTTGGATGTGATTCAAACATCTTTTGCTCGATACTGGAGTAGAGGAGAGGTTGCTTTAGAAGAAACTTTCATGTTAAGCATGATCGACCTTCTGGAGGAGCTAATGAGAGTCTCTCCGAATGTTGGACCTCATGTGAAAGAGGATGCAATAAAGCTAGCGTACACGTGGGAAGCAAAAATGAAGGGCAACACTGAAAATTCATCGGAGAGTTTGGGATATTTGCAGTTTTTAGCTACATACAGATTGCTTTATCGTTTAAATGAAGATGAGATCAAAAAGATTCTTGGGATGATTTATCAGCATAAGCAGGCCCTAAAAATATGCCAGACACTTGGTTTTGTCCCAGGTAAATTTCTTGAAAATTGGCTTTCATAGTGTGCTGTTTGTGGTCCACTTACTATTGCTCATTTATTTCTTGGAATGGTATTTAATTTCTTCTGAACTATGCAATATTTTGGCTAAAGTTTTTAACAACATTGTCCTAGATGTCATAGATTAGACTCATAGTTATATTGTGCTCTAGTTATATTTGGGTTCTTGAATAGTTATCTTCGGGTTCTTAAACCTAGTTATCTTGGATTTCGTATTACACTGCCGCCAGGAGCTACTGGGTATTAGCAAATGGCTGGATAATGACTTAGAAACCGAAGATAAACTTCATGAGACGAGATGAGGGATAGGAAAATGCACGACAAAGTTAAGTAAAATCTTGTTTAGAGATTTCTTTTGGCTGGTTTCGTCTGGATTTGTTCTACATTGTAAGCTCATGTTTTTCGGGAGCTCTGTAAATTTTTGCAGAAATGTGTTTTTTGATTGGTTCGGAATTTAGTTTGTGGAATTATCCTCTCCTAGATGAGAGTATCGTTTAAACATGTGTTTTCTCACGGAACTGTGTTTTCCGGCTTAGTTATGATTGTTATTTCTTTTCCATCTTAAATATGATTTCCTTTGTTAATGCATTTGCTCATTGAGTGCAGTTCTTTTTTTTGAAACGTCTCTTGACAGTTTGATGATCACGCAATTCCGTTTTACATGTAACAGAATTTGTTAAGAAGCTAATTGAGAGGAAGCAACTTCTAGAGGCTGCTAGACTTATTTGCACCTTCAAGATAGCTGAAAAGTTCCCCCCGGTACGGCTTCTAAAAGAATATGTGGAGGGTGCAAGGAAGTCTTGCAGGAAAATGTGGAGGAAAAAGAAATCACTTGATGAAAAGGTACTTTCACTCTGTTTTGGACCGTCTGATATCTGCTTCCTAAATCTAAGCCATCCAATTTAAATGCTTATCCGGCAAGGCTTACTTTTGCTCACAGGAGGAGGTTGTAGACCATTTAATAGCTGATCTAAGAGCTGTGACTCAATGCTTCCAAGATTACAACCTCGAGTCTGATTACCCATCCAAGGGCATCGATATGCTGATAGTTGAGCTGGAAAAAATGAAGGAGAACTGGAGACGTTGTGAGCAATCTCTCGTGTCCAAGGTCGAGCAAGAGGTGAATGAACCGTCTCCTGCCTCCAACGTCGGACAAGAGGGGGAAAAGGAGGACCAGTCTCCTTGCCCCAAGGTTGGACAAGAGGAGCGAAAAGCTTCTCCTTCCTCCAGGGTCGGACAGAAAGAGAAGAAATCCCCTCCTTCCTCCAAGGTCGGCGAGGAGGAGACGAAACCGTCTCCTGCCACCGAGGTCCGAAAAGAGGTGAATAAAGTGAAGAAACTGGTGAAAAAAGCGAAGAAACTGTCTATTGCCTTCAAGGTGGGACAAGAGGTGAAAAAGGTGAAGAAGCCCTCTCTTGCCTCCAAGGTTGGACCAGATGATAAAGCGGAGAAGAAACCGTCTCTGGCCTCCACGGTTGAACAAGAGGAGAAAACAGAGAAGAACCCATCTCATGCCTCCACGGTCGAACAAGAGGAGAAAACAGAGAACCCCCCTCTTGCATCCGCGGTCGAACAAGAGAGCAAAACGGAGAAGAAACCATCAGCCTCCAAGGTCGAGCAAGAGGAGAAATCAGAGAAGAAATCTCTTGCCTCCAACGTCCAACAAGAGGAGAAAAACGAGAAGAAACGCAGTGCCAGTGCTTCCGACTCCACATTTCAACGGCAACAACGTCAAAGTAAACGTCCTCGGATACATGTACCAGCAGCTACACCGTACCGAATGTCAACCGTCCCTCCTGCCTACATGTACATGTTCTGGCCCAACCCTCCTACATATGGCTATTATTAAACCTAGTACGAAGAACCAGCCATGCATGCTAACCTTGAAGAACCAATTGTGCGTGCTGATTTTGATTTTTGCCACCCTCTTGTGGCTCAGTTGTTGAAATCTTCACTTGGCTTTTTTGGATCCAAGAGTTTTGGAAATCTTTGACGTAGTTGGACTAGTATTTTGAAAACATTAATATAGATGTTCAATGTTTATAGACGAGTTCCTTGCAGCAGTATTTCAAGTTACTCACGTACAAGAATACGTGCCAAGTTACTCACGTACATGAATATGTGTGAAAAAGTTAAAACGGTGGAAGTATGTGATTAGTTTGGAATATTGCTTCAATACTTCCTGGTATACAATGATATATTGCCTTCAAGGATGGTCACTTAAGCTTAAATTTGATATTAAGAGTTCGGATTAAAGCATTTAATTCTCCAACCTTGGTATCAAATTACAAATTTAAGGATATGTGACTACGATTCTTGGGCAAGTGGGGTTGGATGTGGCCCTAGCTAGGCCCATATGGATTACTGGGTTTGAGCTCGGGGTTTTTGCACCGAGTGACAGAGAAAATTAAGAACTTGTTTGAAAATGCTTTTAAAATGGCTGAAAGAGGTTTGTGGTCAAAATGTTTTTAGAATAAATTCTTAATAAAACTGTAAGTAAATACTGAAAAACAGTTAAAGTGCTTACATGCTTCTTGCAGAAAACACTTGAAGTGCTTTTGAAACCTAAAAATATTTTATCTAAAAACATTTTCAATCATTTTAAAAATACTTACACGAGCTCTAAACCCCCGATATAAGTAAGTTTCTCTCCATAAGTTCTCATAATCGTTTGTTATCAACTTATCATCATTAGCCCTCATGTTTAACTAATTAGAGGGTGGTGGATTATTGTTAATCTTTTATTCAGGATGGACTTGCATGGCACAACCACCGTCATGTTAGCATTTTGTACTAATGAAATAAGAACGTTTAAGTTTTTATCTACGTATCTTCATTTTATTAGTACGAAACATCATGTTTTGGCATATTAATTTCATAGAGAGTAAATTGTAGTAATGGTCTTTTAACTTTAACTCAAATGAAGCAATAGTCCCTCAACTAAAACTTCATTACCATTGGTCCCTCAGCTCATCAAAACATGCAGCTATGGTCCCTCAACTAAAAATCTATTATCATTGATCCCTCAACTTCTATCCAACTGGAGAAATGATCCCTCAACTTCTATCCAATTGGAGAAATGATCCCTCAACTTTAAACCAATTAGAGCAATGGTCCATCAATTTTATCCTAATTGTACCAATGATTATTTCAACATAATTTATTTTGACAAAATTCTGACGAAGTTAACGAAAATGACCATAGTTACACGTTTTGTTGATTTGATAGACCCTATTTGTAGCAATAGTTACACGAAAATTCTAACAAAATTAACGAAAATTACCATAACTATACATTTTGATGAGTTGAAAAACTAATGCTAATGAATTTTTAATTAAATGATCATTCCTCTAATTTAATTAAAATTGATAAACCATTCGTTCAATTTACTCTCTCGTATACAAATTGTTTTCATAGCTCATTAATTCACAGAGACAAAAATTTCCTGTTTGGTGAATGCTAAGTCAGCCCAGCGTACTGAAAAGAAAAAAGACACATTTATATTATCTCACTGAAGAAAGAAACCTTCCAGAAAAGCTGGCAATCGGATACAAACAATTTCCAATATTTTGGTGCGGACCCACCGATATCAGATCTCTCTTGTTTTTTCCCTTAAATATGTAGTACTAGACTACTAGTACCCTCTCTCTTTCGTTTCGTTTTGCCATTTTTGTGCAATGTACTACTCTCTTCACATTGCATGCAAATTGCATTTACGGCGATGAGTTTACTTTTTCTTTATGCAATAAATTAATATTTTTAATGTTTTAATCTCAATTATTGATAGTAAATTTACGAGGGAACATTCATTCTTTCATCGTTGAACAAATAAGATAATATTTATGCAGAGGATAACCCTATTAATTTTTCGACCGTCAGATCGAATGAATGAAGAAGATCAAGGGTAAAAAATTATAAGGATGTGTTGGAGGTAAAAATGAGTGTGTGAATAGCACTTTCATATGCATAAAACGTCAAATATAATAGTTTTTCATCTTTAACGTTGATAATATAGTTACGCGTGTCATTGTTTTTAGTATTTAAATGAATATTTATTCGTTAGGTCATGACTAAATGAGAATGATTAACAGACGATTAAAAACAAATCCATGTATTTTATAATGATCGAGTTTGTAAAGAGTGTTATTATGCCCCAAACTACATGTTTAATGTTTTCAAGTGTGACTTATATGCTACATTGCCAAATGTGTTTTAGTTGTTATAACTTTTATTTCCAAAGTCATTAAATTTTCTATTTTTAATTCTTTTTTGTACCACTTAATATTAAAGAAAACTTGAATGTTTTCACCATATTGATTTGTCATATATAATTTAGTTAGAAGGTAGTTGGAAAGGCAAGATTAGTACGTGAGTATAATAACACATTGTATAAGTTCGTTAAATGTGAATTAAAATCTCTAATACTTTTAACGAAACATTTTCGTTATCCAAGCGATTTTGAGGAGATAAATTTAAATTCGAAATCATGATCACTAATGACTGAAATATCTTCTCCAACAAAAGCACTTCAAAACGAGACCTTCTCAATAAATGAAAGAAAGAAAATTAGTGTTTGATTAAATGTTTTCATAACTTTGGTTGCTTGGTTAAACAGTAAATTCCCATTTTAAGAAGAGTGCATTTTTGCTCACTACCATTTAGTATGGTGTATGCTCATCACCTTATTTATCATCGTTAGATGAGTTTGAATTTTAAGATTTGTGCTTATCCACTACACGAATTTAGAAATTCAAATCATATAACGGTAAAAAATAGAATGGTGAGCATACATCACATTGGTGAACAAAAATGCTCATTTTTAAGAAATACAAAACAATAGAAAAGTTGAAAATGAAGGACACGTGTCAAATTTTAAAACCCTATCCGACTGTCATTTCAGATGTATGATCTTTGAGCACAGTATTGTATAGAATCATCTGTGTGATTCAGAAGCGTTGAACGACAGTGCCTCCTGACATCTCCGGTGCTCCACACAGGGCTTGGAGAAAAGTGACAGACACTTGCAGGCGCTGGTTGGAGGTTGAAGACGAAGAAGTCTGCCCTAATTTTTCCACAAAATCCACTGCTAGGAGAATTTGAAAAACCCAACTCAAAGGTATGTCCAATGGCTCCCTTTCTCTCTTTCAATTTGTGAGAAAATGAATAGGTTTTGTAGGGTTTGGGGAAAATTTACCTTCCATGGCAGTGATACCAAGCACAATGCTTTTTTCTGCTCTCCCTGTTACTCTGTTTGTAGGGTTTTGGGGAAAGGTACCTTCCATGGCAGGAGAGTTTTTTCAGAGGCAACCTGGATTTTTGTGTTTATTTTTCATTTGCTTGAGCTTTGTAATTGACTCTTCTTCGTGGCCGTGTCGTCAGTAACAAGTTAGGGTTTTTACAGGGGAAGGAAAGCTAGAATGGAAGATAAAGGTTTGAAGTTGAAAGAATCTGAGTTGAGGCAGGGAAAACTGGCCCTGCAATTTGAGGGCCTTTTGGACTGCATTGATTCCACCCGGGCCGAGATCCTTGGCGTATTCCAAGAGGTCCAGGATAAGGATAAGAAAATTGGAGTTTTAGAGAGCCAAGTCGAAGCCAAATCCGAGGAATTGCGTGGAATTGAGAGGTTGATTGAAAAGAGATCAAATGAGCTCGAATCACTCGAGTCCTCCTTGTGGGACTGTCAGTCATCGATTGAAGAGCACAAGAAGGAGCTTTCGGCTAAGGTGAAGCGGCTGGAAGAAGTTCAGAGATGGGTTAGTGAGAAGGAGAGGGAGTATGATTCGATAAAGAAAGGGATTGAACATGGAAGAAGTAAATTGAATTGGTATGAGAAAGCTGTGGAAAAGAAGTCAAAGTTAGTTGAGTCCAAGGAGGAAAACTTGAAAGGGGTTCTACGAACGTTAGAGATATACAATGAGGAAATTGAGTTTCAAAAGAGGCGATTAAATGAGATTCGGGGGTCAATTGAGGAGCAGAAGGAAGAACTTGCTTTGAAAAAAGAGCAGACTAAAGAGGCGGAAAGAAAGGTTGATCAATGTGACAGAGAGACGAAGGATAAAGAGAAGAAGCTTAGTACGATTCAGAAATCAATTGAGGAAATTGAATCAAGAGAGAAAATAATTGATGCAATGGATTTGAAAGTGAAAGATTTTTTCTTGCTGAAGAAATCCATGGAGGAGTGGTTCAATAAACTCGAATTGAAAGAGAAAGAATTCGAGTCAAAAGTTGCGGATCTTAGTTTGATTCAAAAGAGAGTGGATGAATGCATCAATGAGGTTCAGTTGAAGGAACAACATTTGGATTCACTTGAAAAATTGATTCGAGAAGGAAAAATGCATTTGGATTCACAAGAAAGGTTGTTAAAAGAATTATCTAATGGTCTTGAATTAAAAGAAACGCAACTTGAGCAGCGGCATAAAGAACTTGAATTGAAACAAGAAGATATTGAGTCGATCCGAAATTCTGCCCGTGCTAACAGTGTCATTGTTTCTTCTTCCACAAGTAATCACTTCAGCATCGATAAGGATGGTGGAGGCTTGCAGTTACTCATGAAAGAGAGTGTAAAGAGAATTGATTTATTGAGTAGTGAATTGGCAGCTTTTCTTCAAGCGTCATCAGACCCAGCAAAATTGGTTTTGGATGCAATGCAAGGGTTTTACCCTTCAAATTCGATTGGGGACAACGAGGGGTTTGATTATGATTTGACAGTTATTAGAAGAAGTTGTGTTCTTTTGTTACAGGAGTTGAAGAGGTTATCACCACCGATTAATCGTCCGGTGAGAGAACAAGCAATTAAGTTGGTGGATGACTGGAAGGAAAAGATGACAGTGGTGGTGGAAAATAGTTTAGAGGTTTTGGGTCTTTTGTGGCTTCTTACGGCACTTGAGTTGACCTCAACTTATGATGCGAGGGAGCTTCAAAGTCTTCTTGCTTTAGTTTCTCACCCAGAACATGCACCTCAACTGCGCCAGGCCCTTGGCATCACATACAATGCATCTGGTAAGAACTGTCATTTTCTTCTCAACTAAAGCATATATCTGTGTGTGTGTGTGTGTTACATGCGAGGGATTTTCTTCTCAACTAAAACATATATTTATATCTGAATTTCTTAAGAATGATATGCGAGCGTTTCGCATTCTCATTCTGATTCTGATTTTGGAATAATAACGGATGGGATATCAAAGTTGCAATGTTTACAATGATTGCATTGCGTATATAGATACTATTTACTATTTAAAGTTGACCTTTCTTAAAAAAATCTTGGCTCCGCCACTGCATTAGCTGGTATTTGTTTAGTCATTTGGATAGTAACGGGCATGTTTTTAGTTATGCATCACACACCTCCTTTGGATCTAGCTTTCAACAGCGTAGAACACATTATGAGAGTCTAATAATAAGGTACACTCTGGGGTAGGCTACTCGTTCTCTGATATTGGCCAGTGGTGTAAATTTTCTGTATACTTCAAATTTGACTTTGAGGCTGTGCCTTTCTAATTTACTCAATATACCATCTGATATCTGAACTATGAAAAAGAAACATTTTATTATTTATCTTTTGGGTATTTTGTTTATATATATTTAATGTTTCTCAGTATAATTTGACCCAAAAAGCTATGCTCACCGCCACATATTGGTTAATGCTTGAGTAGAAGCACAAATGGCACATAATGTTGTAGATATCTTTTGATACATTACATTCAGAATTATTCAGGTACTGATCTGTGTGCTGCCTCGTTTTGTTTCCTATTGCAATTCCATAGTATATAGCGCCCTGTCAGTCCCTGTCAAAATTGAGGAACCTGAACCTTCAACAGTCAGAAATGTAGCTACTTCTCCTTCTCCAATTCTTCAACTAAGTGCGACTGCCACCACAGATGCAAGGAATTCGCAGGACTGTCTAGATGAGCATTTAAGTGGGAATGACTCAGCCAATAACGAATTGCTTGATGTTCTACGACTACCAGTAGACCCGGAAAAAGTAGTTTTGAAGTTGATGCAAAAATCTCTTGATCAGTACTGGAGCAATAGAAATGTTGGTTTCATAGCCAATCTCAAGAAGACCTACATTCCCATGTTGAATGAGCTGATGAAAATCTCAACAAATGTTGCCCTCGATGTGAAAGAAGATGCAGTAAAGCTAGCAGCCCAGTGGCAAGCAAAAATGAGAACCGATGCAGAAAACTCGTGGGAGATTTTGGGTTTTTTGCAATTTGTGGCTGCATATGGATTGCTTTCTACCTTGAGTGTAGATGAGACTGTGATGCTTCTTGGAAACATATGTCAGAATAAACCGGTTCTACAATTATGTCGGATACTTAGTTTTGCAGATAAGATCCCCGGTAAGTTTCTCAACAACATGGCATTCGTAGTGTGATGTTTGTATTCCATTACATTTCTCTTCAGTTTACAATATTTTGGCTATAGATGTTTGTAACTGTGAATACCTAGATGTCATTTCTGTGTCCGTAGTGCCAGGGTGATAGCTAGGGGTTGCTTACTGACTAAAAAAATCGTCTTCTTTGTTAATGCCTTTGTTAACAGTAACTTCAGGTTTGGGTGATGAAACTGTCATTTTTTTCCGAAACTGATCTGAAGCAGTTTGATGAACCTGCAATTTTGTTTTGCAGGTTTTATTCGGGATCTGATTGAAGGGAAACAGCTGATTAAGGCTGTTAGATTGATTTGCACCTTCAAGTTAACTGACAGGTTCCCGCCGGTAGTACTCTTAAATAAATATGTGGAGGATGTAAGGAAGTCTTTCCGTGCAATATGGCCGGGAAAGAGAACAATTTATGAAAAGGTAAATTTACTTCTTCTTTACATCCAATAGCAATGCTTCTTTTTTTTTTTTTTTTTTGAACGAAATAGCGATGCTTCTTAAATAGTTAAACCAAGGACTCCTCAGTGTATATATAATATATATTTTCCATGGCTTATATTTTTCTCACAGGATAATGTAATGAACAACCTAATAGCTGATATGAGAGGTGTACTTCAGTGCATAAAGGATCACAATCTTGAGTCCGAATACCCGTATAAGGACATTGAATTGGAAATAGTTCAGCTGGAAAGACTAAAGGAGAATTTGAGATTCTTGCCGACGGGGATTGCCTCCAGGTGTGAACAGCAAGAACAGGAAAGAAGGAAGAGATGCAGTACTAGTTCTACTTCCCAGTTTCAACCACCAGAGAAACGTCAAAATAGAAGTCATCCGACAGCTCCTGCAGCAGCTGCTAGATCCTACACAACTTTCCGTTCGCAGTTAAATCCGTCATCTCAGCTATTTGGAAATAATGATGGACACCCTGGGCAGTTTAGTATGTTTGCCAACCACCATGAAACTGGTTGCAGTTTTGTTTCCGAGCAGTTAACTTCATCGTCTCAGCTGTATGAAAACCATGGACACCCTTTGCAGTTTGCTATGGACCATGAAATTGGTGCTAATTTTGGTCCCATGCAGTTAAGGTGGTCCTCTCAGCTGGCTCAAAATTTTGGATTCCCTGCGCCGCTTCCTTTGGCTTCCAACGAGCATGAGATTGGTACTGATTTCAGTTGTATGCAGGATGCCGGATTATATAACTCTAATCAGTTCTTGCCCGGCACTCATGGTTTTGGCCGTAGAGAAACCTAGCAGGAAACCCTCCACACATGTAAACTTTGATGAACCACTTTCAACCCCAGTGTGCAGTTCTGATTGTAGTTTACACCGTCCTTATACGATTATAACGGCGTCCTTATGTCGCACGTAATTGTATCTACGACACGAATACGGTAGGTAGCCAGCCTGCTTTCTGTTTGTGGGTTGCACCACTTCCATTTGACTGACTCTTGTAGTATAGAAACCTGGAGATGGAATACAGTCCTTGACATGTTTAGAAAACATTATTGTGTGTGTCTTAGGATGTTGTACAAATTCTAGCTAGTGTAGTTCAAAGCATTTGGGGTGACTTTCTACGGTGCTCTAGAGTATTCTAGACTCCGAAGTTTTAACTGCTAGAATATTATTGACAAAAAAAATATACCGACCAAGATTTAACGGTTATAAACCCATAGTATAGGATACTTTGGGTACTGTTTGGTACATGGGACGAGACGGAATGTAGTGGAACGAGGCGTTCCGTCTCACGTTTGGTGCACCCAAAAATCGGGGAACACGTTGTCCCATGGAACAACTCGTTCCATCCCCGTGGAACATAAAATTATATTTTTTTGGACAACAATACCCCTCTTCTTTTTCATTAATTACATTGTCTACCTCCCTTTCTCTACCGTAACCTCCCTCTCTTCTACACTCCTCCTGTAGCCTTCTCTTCCTCCACCACAAACCCAGCAACCCAACTGCTAACCCAATCCCAGCAAACCCATCCGAACCCAACTATGGCTGCACCTTGTTCTCCGGCGCAGTCACCATAGCCAAGCCGACGACGACAACGACGACGCTGCAGGGAGGACGATGACGAAGACGCAGAAATTGATTGAAATGAATTTGCAGATCCGACGATTCGACGAAGCCTCTGTAAATTTAAAAAAAAAAAAAAAACAATTTGGGATTTTTCTGTGTTTGATTTGAAGAGAAAGAAATTAAAAGAACCCGGAACCCTAACACCTCCATTTCCAGAATTTTTGCGTTTTTTATCTTGTAATTGTTTGGGGAACTGATTGGTTGCCGAGAAAACGAAGGAAAGCGAAACTGAATTGTCGTTTGTTGATGAATTATTCCCCTGCAAATTTGGATTTGATCTGTTATGTGATAGTAGAAATTGATAGTGGCATTTTGTTTTTCTTTCCATGCTTGTTGATCCGAAGTCTTATGATCCAGTTGTTCATGTTAATGGCGTGAGCTACCTGTTTATACAGCATAACAATGTTTACTTGGTGACTGCGTCCAGGCAGAACTGCAATGCCGCTAGTCTTCTCTTCTTTCTACACCGAATAGTCGATGTAAGCTCCATCACGTTGAGAACTACAGCCATTGAGTTCAGCTAGCATCTCGGACTTACCCACGCATAAACACTGTACAATCCTTTCATTTTCTTTGTTTGAAGATATCCCATCTCGTCCCGTCCTATGCATAAACAATGTACCAAACAACAGACGAAACAAGACTAAGTTAGTCATTTAATCTTTTAGTTCTATTCTGTCCTGCGTTACCAAACGCAAAACGGAACAACCATCCTATTCCGTCCTGTGCATACCAAACATAACACGGAACCTCCATTCCGTTCCATTCCGTTCTGTCCCGTCCTGTCCAGTTCCGTTCTGTTCCGTTCCGTCCCGTCAGCATACCAAACGGTACACCGTAGAATTTTTACCATTTGGATAGCAAATCAAAACAAATGGCTTTCCTATTTTGATGCCAAAGTATAGGCTTTGTTCTCTCTATGCAGAAGACAACCTATGAACTTTTTCAGCTGATAACTCAATATATGTCCTCTTCTGTTTTCGTATAAGCTTGATTACAAGCGTAAAGATAAATGTTCATAACTTCTTGAGTTAAGTTTTTGTTTTTAGCTTTTGATTATTTCTTCTTGGTTTAATGCACATTTGAAATAATTTATCTGGTTGAGGTAAAATAGTATTTGATTTCTCATAGCATTTTTAAGTGAAAGAATTCTCATATGATTTTTAAGTGAAAGATGAGATTGTAGAAGTGTCATGGAATGGATTATTTGATATTTTTAATATTTATTATGTTTTTTTTACCTGTTACGAACATTATGTTATCAATTTTTCTCTTTTGCTTTAATATTGATGTATTTCATGTGTCCCGGATTTGAAACTCCCTCTTAAATAGTTTCGAACTCGATGTGTTCCGGATATAAAACTCCCTCTTAAATAGTTTCAAACTCTTTCCCTTTCTTTAATAATAATAAATTAAAAAAAAATGTATTCTATTGTGCGACGCTCTTTAACCTTCAGTTGGTTTGAAAGTTTCGACATAGTTTTAACAACATCAAAGTAGGATTCTCTCTACTCTAGTTCTCCTGTCATTCCTCTTGTCATTTCTTACTTTCTTCTTTGTCTTCCTGTCGATAAAAAGTAAACGTAAGATATTGACATGATGAGTTAATTGTGACCGTTCAAACAAATACGAATCACTCTTGCAATAAATATCGTACTTTCTCGGTCCTTTCTCCCAAAGAAAATTATCAAATTTTTTTATAGAAAGAAAAAATATTAATAATTATTTATTTATTTAAATAGGTTGCAGTCCCACCAAAATTTGACACAAATATGGATCTGTTTGTTTCCCTGCAGCAAAAAGGTATTTCTAACATAAGACCAATTTTGACCGATGCGGAAAAATCTAGACACGTGGCATTTGCCAATAGGGAAACAAAACTCGTTTCTGATTGGCCTAATGGCCTGACCCGGTTAGACTGAATCCTATCCGTTCATTCACCACACATCTAAACCAACGGCCCAGATGCATCTTGCAATAATTAACCCACTGAGCACTGCATGAGCTCTGAGGGACTGAGAACGTCGAGCTGAAGAAGAAAGCTTGCAGCTTCCGCCATAGCCGATACGTCGTCGTATTGCAGCAAAACTGAAAGCCGCAACTCAGGAACGTCGATACGGTGTCGTATTTTAGCTCTCTCTCTCGCATTCTGGTTCAACATTTCACCTCCTCTGTTTTAGGGGTTTTTGCTTCTGAGAAAATTGGAAATGTACCTTCTCTGATCGCCAAGGAACTTTAGGGTTTTATCGTTTTTCGTTCTGCATTTTCATACGGCGTCGGATTTCAGAAATTAATATTTTTTTGTTTGCAGAAGTTGCAGAGACGCCAGCGATGGAAACGATGGTGTCCGGTTCGGATGAACCGGAGTTGAAGCAAAGGAATTTGGTCCCGCAGTGGAAGCACCTCTTGGACCACATTGACTCGCTCCAGACCCGGTTCGAGGAGCTCCAGGACCGGTTTTACTCGGAGCAGAACTCGCTCCAGACACGGCAGCGGGAGGTTGAGGAGCGCGAGAAGGAGTTGGAGGGCAAAGTTTTGAACTTTAACTCGGAAATGGCGTCTAAAGCTCAGGAATTGTATGAAATCGAGAGATTGGCGAAAGAGAAAAGAAGGGAGGTTGGTGGTAAGGAAAAATGGTTGTTGGAAATCGAGGAATCGGTTAGGGGGAAGGCGAGGGAACTTGATTTGATAAAAAATGATATCGAAGAGCGAACGGAGAAATTGAATTCGATTGTGAAAAGTTTGGATGAGAAGTCGAGAGAGCTGAAGATGAAGAAGGAGGTCACTGAGTTGAACGGAAGGCGATTAAACTCGATGAAGGGGTCTATTGATGATGTCATGAAAGATTTTGTTTCGAAACAAGAGCAGGTTAAGGCGGCGCATAAATCTCTCGAAGAATGTCACAAGGAGATTCAATCGAAAAGGAAGATACTTGGTGCCGTTGAAAAATCGATAAGGGAATGTTACCGTACACTTGAATCCAAAGAGAAAACCATCAGGGCAGTGGAGTTGAAACAACAAGAATTTGAGTTGATGGTTCAAGAGTGCCAAAAGCATTTGGATTCACAAGAAAAGTTGTTGCAACAAGGTTGCCATGGACTCGAAATGAAAGAGAGGCAACTCGAAGAGCAGGTCAGAGTGTTTGAATCTGAACAACGACAATTTGATTTGACGGCTAAAGAACGCCAAAAATGTTTGGATTTGCAAGAAAAGTTGTTACAAGAAGGTTGCCATGGACTTGAAAAGAAAGAAGGGCGACTTGAGGAAAAGGTCAGAGAGTTTGAATCGAATAAAAAAGAATTTGATTCGATGATTCAAGAACGCCAACAACATTTGGATTCTCAAGAGAAGTTGTTACAAGAAGGTTCTCATGGACTTGAAATGAAAGAGAGGCAGCTTGAAGAACAGGTCAGAAAGCTCGAATCAGAAAAACAACAATTTGAGTCGCTGCAAAAATCCAGGGAAGACATCCAAAATCTGAAATCCAAGGAGAAGACTAATTGTTCCATGGATGGCAAATGCTTGCAGGTTCTCATGAATGAGAATTGGACGAGAACTGATCTTGTATGTGGCGAAATCGCAGCTTGTCTTCAGGCGTCATCTGACCCAGCAAAGCTCGTTTTGGATGCAATGCAAGGGTTTTATCCTTCAAATCAGACCGTGGACACCACTGAGTTTGCCTTTGATTTGACAGTTATTAGGAGGAGTTGTATTTTTTTGTTACAGCAGTTGAAGAGATTCTCACCACAAATCAACCCTCAGGTGAGAAAAGAAGCAAGGGCTTTGGCAGCTGAATGGAAGGGTGAGATGACTGTGGCGACTGAGAATGGATTGGAGATTTTGGGTTTTTTGGAGCTTGTTGCTGTGTATGAAATCACAACTGCTTATGATTCGAAGGAGCTTCAGAGTCTTCTTGGTACAGTGGCTGAGCACGAGCAAGGAACTGAACTATGCCAGGCCCTTGGTATCACAAGTAAGGCACCTGGTAAGCTCTTTTTCGGTTTTATTTACGTTATCTTTTATTCATTTAATATAAGTAGTTGTTATATCATGTAGGGGATAGAGCTTTAAAGTTTTCGAAGTAATTACTAGCTCCTTTTTGCTGGCCTGAAAAAACGTAATCAGTTTTACTCATCCCACTTTTATAACTGTGTTATCTAAGGATTTCGTTCTGCTGTGTCATGTTCTCTTCTCATTTATCGTTTAAGTATCTTAGTGAAGGTGTCTGGTGCCGCACATACTCTTGCTTTGAACCGTTTCATCCCAGATCTTGCTATTGGAGTTTTACAAATTCTTCTTGTTTGATCATTTAGGCAGCCTCTGTCTCCAATTTGCACATAACACGATTTGGTGTCTGATAGACCACTTCAGTCTTCAGTCTTCAGTAAAGCACAACTGTCAAATAATCCTTTTCTTTGTTCTTCTTGCAATTACACAGCGAGCAACAGCGTTTCTTTCCCTATCAAAATTGAGGAACAAGAATCTTCACAACTTATAAATGTCGCAGCTTCTTCTTCTCTGGATCTTCAACCGAGTGCAACCACAGATACAATGAATTTGCAGGGCTCTACGGATGAGCATTTAAGTGAGTACGAGTCAGTGCAGAACGAAATGCTTCTTGATCTACAAATGTCAATGGACCCAGCAGAACTAGTTTTGAAGTTGATTAAAGAATCTTTGTCTCAATGCTGGAGAAAAAGAGATGTTGGCTGTGAATCAGCTGTCGTGGAGAATAGCATTTCCCTGTTGAATGATCTAACGGAAGTCTCCATGAAAATTGGGCCACATGTTAAAAAAAATGCAATAGAGCTAGCAGTACAGTGGAAAGCAAAAATGAGAGTTGATGCTGAAAATTCAATGGAGATTTTGGTGTTTTTGAACTTTGTAGCTACATATGGATTGGTTTCTACCTTTAACAGATATGAGATTGTAAAGCTTCTCGGGACGATTTGTCTGCACAAAAAGGCTTTGGAATCATGCCAAGCAGTTGGTTTTGCAGATATGATCCCTGGTAAGTCTCTTGATTCATACTGTGGTGTTTTGTTCCAGAACCAAACTCTTATCTGTTTCTGTTGGTAGTTTACCAATTTTGGCTATATTTGATTGTATCTGAGAGTCCTAGATGCGATTCCTGCATCCATTGTGCTAGGGCGATAGATTTGAGCCGGTTTTATACTGCCTTCGGGATTTAATTGGTCTAATATTTGCAAATGGCTTGAAGATGATCGATGGGAAACTTCATGGGTCAATATAACTTATCATGAAAAAGTACATGAAGTTTAGAAAGAGATTATTTACAGGCTAGAGTGAATTTTCATTGAGGATGGATTATAATTTGCAATTCTCCTTACGGAGCTTCTCTGGAGCTGTTTGATGAATCGGTCAATTTTGTTTAAATGCTGCAGATTTTGTTCAAGATCTTATTGAAAGGAAGCAACTGATTGAAGCTGTTAGATTGATTTGCGGCTTCAACTTATCTGCCAGGTTCCCACCGGTACCACTCTTAAAAGAATATGTGGAAGGTGCAAGGCGGTCTTACTGCACAAAATGGCTGGTAAAAAGATCACTTGATGAAATGGTACATACATCTTTGGACTTCCAATAGCTGCTGCTTCATAAAAAGTTAATTTCAGGATCATTTACCCTCTTCGATACAAATATACAAATTTCAAGCCTTAATTTTGTTCACAGAATGAGGTGGTAGACAAGCAAATAGCTGATCTGAGCGCTGCGATTCATTGCATCAAAGACAATCATCTCGAGTCAGAATTCCCATACAACGGCATCGAAAAAGAGATAGTTAAGCTGGAAAAGCACAAGTTGGATTGGAGACGTTCGGTTCCAGTTGTTGGCTCCAAGGGTGAAGGAGAGCAGGAGAAAGGGAAGAAACCAAATACCAACCTTGTATCCTTCAAGATCAAACCGCCAGAACAGCGTAACTGCAAGCGCCTCAAACAGCTGGCCTGATGGACTCGTGTGCATAGTAAAACCGAAAAACTCGACCGTAGTGTTAGCCTCTAGTAACCTGCTAATTGCAAAGTTTGATAGCTTGCTGTCAGCTGCTTTCTTTTGAGTTGCATTGCCTTGCATTTAGGAGGAGCAGTTAGTTTGACTGACTTCAAGGTAGAATTGTTTATGTGGAAACAGGTTATGTTGCAAAACCTTGAGAGATACATGAAACGAAATTTTATATATACTAAAACCCGGTGAAAACCACTGTTCATTAACAGTGCTCCACCGGTTTTGCCCCTCTTTCTCTTCATGTTTTTTCAGCTTTAGTGGGGTTGAATGGTGAATTGGCCATTTTGCCCCTCTCTCATTTTTCTTTCCATCCGTGCGTGCGTTTTGTGTTTTCTAGGGTTCCAGCTTCTTCCACTTTTATCTGCTGCTGCGTGTTAGTTCCACGTGTTCGTCATCGGGATCATTTGGCCCATAGTGTCAGGATTTCCATTTGCTTCCAGTGGCTTCCAATTGCTTTCATTTGCTTCATCTCTCCTGAAATGAAAAAAAAAAAACCCTGCGTTCATCCAACCTTAGAATCCCGAAACCAAAATTCATCCGGATCGTTCCAATCTCCAACGGCATATCGAAATATCCAGTCGCTTGATTCTCTATCTAAAATACCCACTCATCCTTGCCTTATCTCTGATGATTCAATTGGCCGGCGACGGCTTCTAGGATTCTAGCTCGACTTCTCTTTCAAAACTCAGCTCGAGTGCTCGGGTATTTGTTTTTGGTTGTGATTTTGGGGATTTTGTTTGTAGCTTCGGATTCTGGGTGATGATGGTTAATTTGGTTTTGCTTTCGGTTTCAGGAGATCGGGTTTTTCGAATTTATGACTTTTCTTTGAAGCCTGCGAAGACCTTTGTGTTTAAGGTGAGTGCTTTTGAAATTCCACGGTTTTGATTCGACTTGCAGGCTGAGGTGTGATTTTAGATATGAAATTTTCAGGCTTCAGATCCCTTTCCACCGTTACTACCACCAATTCACCCATACCTCAGCTTTCTTTCCACGATTCCTCAAAGCGTTCATATCGGTACGTACACTCAAGTCCGATTCTATTTGAAAAGATCGATTATTTTCCTTTTTTTTTTTTTTCAGCAAAAAGCACCATCTTTGTCTAATTTTTTTGAATTTTTCTCAGGAATTCTGGCCCATCGTTGAGATTTTCTGTATGGGTTTTGGTTCTTTTGGATTTGGAAGGAGATGGAGATCGGAGTTCGTTGCTATCATTTATTCAACTTAAATTTTTGGGGATTTGGTTTGAATTTCTGGGTAGGCAAGTGTCACCTTTGTTCAACTTAAATTTAGTTTTTTTTTTTTCCTCAAATTTATTTGATGGCATGATTTTTTGATCCTTACTAAATAGTTGTTAAGAAATGTTGAAATTTTTAATAGTTCTGAATCTTCTGATTTCTTCTGAATTTGTTTTTGTTTTTACTATCATGTCTCATGCTTTCGAATATAATTGGGTAAATTTTCCCAAGAAATGGGTAATAAATGGAAGGCTCATAACATGTAATAGAAGAGAGTTATCAATGATGATAATAATATTTTACTATTAAGTACTTCAGTTGGACATCTCACAAGACATAAAAGCCCTGTAAGTTTTCTTCTTTTTCAAAGTGCATGTCTTTTTGGTGATTCTTTCAATGCTTGGACATCTGTTAATTTTGTGTGATTTTGCTTTGGATGGTTGTTGGGTTTGATTGGATTGCACACTTATTTAAAAATGGATAATCATTCTTCGAGTTAATGGCTGAATTGTAGGCTTGGCTTGATTTTGCCTTTTAATTTCCTCTAAAGTTGTAGGTTATAATTCAAATTATGGCTATCTTGAAGCATGTATAATTTTTGTTCTCTTTTATGAATTCAGAATAGGCGTGTGTGTGTGTGTGTGCATGTGTGATTAAAGCAATGATGTTTTTGTTTGAAATTTCGAAAGTGTTTGTTTTCCAGATTTTTAATCACTAATCTGTTAGAAGCCAAAGGATTCATATGCAGACAAAATGTTTGGTGTGTAAAGTTTAAAAGAATTCATTTTTATGAAAAAGATAAATAGGTAACTATAAGAACCTGCTTTGGTTATATTAACGGGGGAATGCAACTATAACAATTCATTAAATGCGATGATATAATCTGATAGTATGGATTCTTTTAAAGATTTTTTGTGATTATTTTACAGTAAGTATGTTGAGTAATTTTCTGGAGAGTAAACCTTTTAGATTTGAATATGCAGCAATTAATGCACTAGAAGGATTCCTCTTTCAATGGTGATTTGTCTTTTTGACATATTCATTGCAAGGACAAATGAGAAGTAATCGGAGGCTGTTGTACCTTACATTAAGGTTCATTCGTTGTGTTATATTTGGATTTTATTATATAATACTGTCTATGTATGGTTTTTGAAACGGTGCTCAAAATTATCCTGTGTTCTTTTTGTATATACAGAGTGAACAGTTCATCCTTTGCGAAGGATAAAACAGGAGACAAGGTTTTTTACTCCATATGGGACGGAGAGGTTAGTTTGATTGTGGTTACTTTTTTGGTTTAGTTGAATTGAAAATTGGTCATATTGAGTCGAATTTAATCATTTGCTTACATGGATTGAAATTACTGGTTCTATTAATGCTGATGACGGAAATCAACCCGAGTTCAAATTAAAACAATATGATAATTTTGGTTATGGTAAGAACTAAAAACTTAGTACCCTTTTTTTTTTATCTTTCCCCTTTTTGGAATTAAGAAATTAGGTTACCTTTCTATACCTTTTCTGTGATCGTTCACTGAAAATTTGTTAATTTTTTTAACATATATAAGGAAATATTTTTACTTTCTAGAATCCATTTCTAATGTTTAGAGTTTGCATGATTTTACATTGTCAAATAGTATATGAGTTTCCATGTTTAAGTGTGTCAGTGTGCTGTTGCACTACTTTAATTGGATGTGATAAAAGGTGACATGTTTTCGTCAAATTGAAGTTTTTAGTAATGAGTTTTTTCAATGCTGTTATTTTTTGAACATATAAAACGATATCGTTATGTTCATTACGGTGAGAACTGGGAACTTAAAACACTATTTTTTTAGCTTTTCATTTTTTGAAGAAATTGAATTACTTTTTTTTTTTTTTTTTTTTTTTTTTTTGTGTTTATATATATCTTTTCTTCATTCAATTAAGTATTACACCATTTAGTTTAAATTGCAAAGACAGATGTATGAACCGTATTTGATATAGAACGTTTTTTCAACCGTATTTAGTTTAAATTGCAAACAATATTTTCTCCTATTTTTCAACCATCTTTTATCTAATATAAATTTGTCTTTTTCAATCTTTGTTATACATCTAAGATAGTGAGCCAAAACAAATCACAAAGGCAAACACACAACAGTTTGATGAGGTGCTGTAAAATTGCTGAAAAAGGTAACAATACAAAATCCTTATTTTCTTCACGGTATAATTCTACTGTCATATAAATTCATTTCATGTGTTTCAATATTTTTCTTTCCTTGCCTAGGCTGCTTCCTCAACAATCAACAGTACTGGAGAAAACCTTTTAGCGTTGCAGTAAACTACTTTTCTCATATTTTGTTATTCTAGATAATACATTACAACTTCTGCAACTTTTGGTGTGTCTGCTGCATATATAAAATCTTTCATATGTAAAAATCATCATTTCCTTTTCAATGTAAATAATATTAATCTTTTATCTTATAGTCTTTAAATCTTTCAAACATAATCTTTCTTACAATTTTTAATCCCGCAGCAACGCGCGGGCACAACTTTCTAGTGTCTTGACTAATTCTTACACACACACACACACACACACACACATACACACAGTCTTTTAGCTAAATATTTGATTTGCTGATATGAAATTCTAAATCAATTTCTATGTACTTTAAAACTTAAATACGAGGATTCTTAAAAAAAAAAAAGGGGATTTTTTCTATACCACTGATATTCAACATCAAATTCATCTAATTACGAAATATGAGATTTAAACTTGAATGCAGAAAGAGGAGGAGCATAATGTTCTAACCAATTTTTTTTCTTTTTCCCAAGTCTTCAAATATGAGGATAGCGTTTTCATTGGTATAGAACCTGTAGCACCAAAATTTGGTATATATAAAATAAAAATAAATAAAAAGAAAAAGAAAGCATTATTATATTTATCATTTTTTTCCTTTTAAGTAAAGACCAAGTAATCCCACTAAATAGAAAGAGATTAATTAAGCCAAATTCAAAACAGATCAAATTAAACCATCTTAGGAGAGATTTTTTTTTTTTACACAAGCGCGACTAGTTCGTTTGGCGTCAGACACAAACAAATGGGCATTTCTACGTTGGTATTAGCTAGAGCAAGTCGATGTGGATCATGGACTGAGTAATTTGAACCACTCATTTCAAATTTTACAGCACCTATTAGCCCTAGTTTGGTACTAAGGTGATTCTGAAAAAAGTGGTTATCAAAAAAAGTTAG